TTTTTCACATCCGGGGCCAGTTTAGGGGGCTGCTGCTGGTAAGGTTCTGTTTGATAATCACCTTTATCAATTAGTAAATTTTAAAAACACCTGGTAAAAAAATTTAATGCTGTAAAAGTTAATTATGGCAACCTGCAAATGTCAATTTTGTCCACCTGATGTGACTGAGAATGTGAAATAAAGGATTTAAAATATTTTTCTAAATTACCAAAATCATCAGCAACAGAACTTAATTTCATGACTAGGTGTAAAATAAGTTATTCCCCAATATACAGATTAAGATAATTCTGATCTAAATTACCTACAAAACAGTAACACGTTAAGTAAAAAATGTTATTTATTTAGGTGCATCAGCACAGATCAAGCTATTTTAAAGGAAGTTTGGCTTTTTCCTGCTGCTTTTGAGGATGTGGGCATGAGAAACAGCTTCATTATTAAAAGGAGTTTCTGAAAGAACTGATAAGCATATTAACCCAGACACAGAGTGCCTCCCTGCTTTGCTGTTGCAGGGGAGGACGGTTCAGTGCTGCTGATAGAGGCATTAAAGTTGCATTTTGTTCTACTCCTCATAGCGATACAACCCGGTCTCTCCTCGCTTTCCCTGAGAACTCTCCATTCACACCTGCTGACATGCCCAAGAAAAACACGAGCCAGGGAGGCGTTGCCATCGGGTTTGGTGATACCAGCATGTCCGACACAACCTTCTGTAGCGATAACTTTGTGATACTCGTGCACTTTTACCTAGCATTACACATGCATGAGTAAATGTGCTGCAATCAGCATGCTTTGATTCTTTCCGCTCCCATGAGTGTTAAGCTGCCATGTTCATACTATAATCCTCTTGCATTGTAATAATGGAATTTTTGTGTATTTTATTTTAAAATGTAAAATTAATTATTCATTAGAGGCATCTTGAATTATGAAATGTATTAATTTACAGATGTACATGCGTCATGACCGAACACTTGCAAACAGGAAGACAGTCCTAAATGGTTGACTTGATGGGAAAGTTTCAAAGAGAGACCTTTGACCTCTCAGAGTTGGACAATATTATCGTATGTAACCATGATTTACATTTGTTCAAAAACGAGTACAATCTTGATCTCCCGCTTTTAAATATACAATATACAATTTTGAGAGTTAAGACACCAGATTTGTTTAGATAAAAATGAAATAATCTAATCTGGCGTGAGGTTTAAAAGGCTAGTGGTTTAGTGCACACGAAATGAGTAATGTGTGAAGTCACTATTAATGTTGAGCAATGCTACAGGTTTTACATCAACACTTCATACACAGACTACAACATTTCCAAATTTACGTCAATAAAAGGCAGTTTTCACACTGAATCTTTGTGCACGCATATGCTCCATAAAGAAAAATCTTCTTGGCATTTCTTGATAAAACATCTCCATGTGTCCAGACTGTGTAACCATTACTTAATCCTCCTGTGTTGCTCTCTGCCCTTCACAGTCCTCTACCGACCCGACGAGAGAGAGTAGTCTGGTGAAGTAAATCCAGCAGGCTGATTCATAGCACTCCCATCTATTTCAGTCCCTCTGTGGTCTGTCTGCTGCCCATTATGACCTGCAGCCTGTCTAATTTGGTGATGAGCTGTAAAGTGACCTGCCTGCCCTGGCTGGAACAGGAGTGGGATTCCAGGGATGGGCGACACTGTATCCAGCATGCACCCCAACCCTGTCACCATCTCTGATGCACCTGCTCCAGAGGGCACCCTGGCATTGCCCCCAGCACCTGTTCTACACTCAAGTAAGGTGAGATGCCAGGAATAATTGATGACGATGTAGGAGGTGTTATCAGCTCGGGCAGGGCAGGAGACACTTTTTCAAACCTCCTGCTGAGGGGTGACTGCCCTGTCACTTCCATTAACAGTAATAGATTTAATTTACTGCAGTGATACGACTAAGACTGACCCTGATCATGTTTGTTATTGAGCCTTCTCATCAGTTAATTCATTGTGCCCCCATATCAGAACTATCACAGAATATTATGTCTCAAATTTGAAGATAATTCTGAGATGATAAATTCAATAAATGGACTAAAATCATTCTCTGCTTTTATGCTGGTCATAGGCGTGACATTTTTATTTAGGTTTTAGACTTTTCGCTTACTTTACCTCTCCCTGGGCTGCCACCTTACTGTGGTGGAGGTGTTTGAGTGTCTCAATGATCCTAGGAGCTAAGTTGTCTGAGGCTTTCGGCCTCTGGTAGGGTGACCCATGGCAAACAGGTCCTAGGTGAGGGATCAGACAAAGAGCAGCCCGAAGACCTCTTGTGATAAATTATATAAATGGAAACCGTGTTCCCTCGCCTGGACGTGGGTCACTGGGGGCCCCCCTCTGGAGCCAGGCCTGGAGGTGGGACACGTTGGCGAGCGCCTGGTGGCCGGGCTTTCACCCATAGAGCCTGGCCGGGCACAGCCTGAAGAGGAAACATGGGTCCCCCTTCCCATGGGCTCACCACTCATGGGGTCAGGTGCAGTGTGTGACGGGTGGTAGTCGAGGGCGGGGATCTTGGCGGTCTGATCCTTGGCTACAGAAGCTGGCTCTTGGCACATGGAATGTCGCCTCTCTGGTGGGGAAGGAGCCTGAGATGGTGTGTGAGGTTGAGAGGTTCCGACTAGATATAGTCGGACTCACCTCAACACATGATTCTGGCTCTGGAACCAGTTTTCTTGAGAGGGGTTGGACTTTCTACCACTCTGGAGTTGCTCCCACTGAGAGGCGCCGAGCAGGGGTGGGCATACTAGTTGCCCCCCATCTTGGTGCCTGTACGTTGGGGTTTACCCCAGTGAATGAGAGGGTAGCCTCCCTCAGCCTACGTGTGGGGGGACGGGTTCTGACTGTGGTCTGTGCTTATGCACCAAACTACAGTTCAGACTACCCACCCGTTTTGGAGACCTTGGAGGGGGTGCTGGAGAGTGCTCCTTCCAGTCCAAGGGGAACGCGGCTTGGGTGGTCGCCAAGGCAAAAACCCGGGCATGGGAGGAGTTCAGTGAGACCATGGAGCAAGACTTCCGTACGGCTTCGAGGAGATTCTGGTCCACCATCCGGCGCCTCAGGGGGGAAAAGCAGTGCACTATCAACACTATCTATAGTGGGGACGGTGTGCTGCTGACCTCTACTCAAGAAGTTGTGGATCAGTGGGCAGAATACTTCGAAGACGTCCTAAATCCCACCGACACGTCTTGCAATATCGCATGGACGTCGAGGGCAGTCCCACTGGACTGGCAGACCGGGGTGGTGGTCCCCTTATTTAATAAGGGGGACCACAGGGTGTGTTCCAACTATAGGGGGATGACACTCCTGAGCCTTCCTGGTAAGGTCTATTCAGGGGTTCTGGAGAGGAGGGTCCATTGGATTATTGAACCTCAGATTCAGGAGGAGCAATGTGGTTTTCGTCCTGGCCGTGGAACACTGGACCAACTCTACACCCTTAGGGGGATCCTGGATGGTGCGTGGGAATTTGCCCACCCAGTCTACATGTGTTTTGTGGATTTCGAGAAGGCATTTGACCACGTCCCTCGGGGGCCCTGTGGGGGGTACTCCGGGAGTATGGGGTACCAGGCCCTTTGATACGGACTGTTAGGTCCCTGTATGACCGGTGTCAGAGCTTGGTCCACATTGCCGGCAGTAAGTGGTTTGCTGGAGCGGTTTGCAGCCGAGTGTAAAGCAGCTGGGATGAGAATCAGCTCCTCTAAATCTGAGACCATGGTCTTGATTCAGAAAAGGGTAGAATGCCTTCTCCGGGTCAGGGATGAGGTCCTGCCCCAAGAGGAGGACTAATTATCTCGGGGTCTTGTTCACGAGTGAGGGAAAACTGGAGCGTGAGATCGATAGGCAGATTGGTGCTGCATCTGCAGTGATGCGGGCGTTGTACCAGTCTGTCATGGTGAAGAGAGAGCTGAGTCAGAAGGCGAAGCTCTCGATTTACCGGTCGATCTACGTTCCTACCCTCACCCATGGTCATGAGCTTTGTGTAGTGACCGAAAGAACGAGATTGCGGATACAAGTGGCCGAAATGAGTTTTCTCCGAAGAGTGGCTGGGCTCCCCCTTACAGATAGGGTGAGAAGCTTGGTCATTCGGGAGGGGCTTGGAGTAGACCCGCTGCTCCTCCACATTGAGAGGAGCCAGTTGAGGTGGCTCGGGCATCTGGTCAGGATGCCTCCTGGACACCTCCCTGTTGAGGTTTTCTGGGCATGTCCAACCGGGAGGAGACCTAAAGGTAGACCCAGGACATGGTGGAGGGACTATGTCTCTCACCTGGCCAGGGAATGCCTTGGGGTTCCCCTGAGGAGCTGGCCCAAGTGGCTCGGGAGAGGGAAGTCTGAGCCTCTCGCCTTAGGCTACTGCCCCCGCGACCCGACTCCGGATAAGCGTATGAACATGAATGGATGGATGGATGGCATACTTTACTGATTCTCCCTCTTAGCTACCTGTACTCTGTGGTGTATTTCTCTTGAGTTCAAGGGATAGGCTGACTTTAATCCACGTCCACAGAGGAGGTTTAAAACACTCTGGTTTCATCGAATCTTCCAGCTCAGATCTAGCAGAGCTTGAAAGTCGCTTTCTCCATCATAGGAATGGACAAATAAAGGTCTCTCTCAGCACCCCCAAGAAAGAAGCCTGTGTGCTCTGTGGATTAAAGCCCTCTGTTTTCTCTGCCTGTTTCTCAATTAGAATGAAATGAAGGGAGGAGAAAAAAACTGCCCGGTCTATTTAGTATTGTAAGACTTTGGAAGTAGCTCTAGTTTTTCTCCTCTTCTTTCTTCAGCAACTTTGATGCCACAAAGCAAAGCAGGGTTCATAATTTTGCTGTAAACAGTCTGCTTTAAATAAAACTAGAAAAAAAATATGCAGGCTATAATTCGGTGTACAGCCTTTATATAAATCGAACACATTTGTTTTAAAAGTTGAAACTGGAGAAGGCGTGAGAGAAATTTCTTAGTTTTTTTGTTCAGGCAATTTCATGGACAGCTAATTTATTGTAAACAAAGGTCCTTCAGAAAGACTCCCTGGTAACTTCGGAAGCGCTGCTGTCTCACGGAAATGGTATTTTTTGACCCTTTTCTAAAGCGTTTTACTCCTTTTCCACAAAAGTGTTCTTTCTACCGGAGTAAAAACGATTTTTATGTAGAAATAATTGTTCTGCTGGAGTAGCCGTATTTCACAGTTAGCTTGCTACTGCTGTTACCTAGATTTAAAACGACCTCGCTGGACTTTTCGTCTAATAGTTCACTGAGCACCTGTTTTAGGAATGCGTTTGCAGTGTCTTGAGATAGGTTGTAGTTTTGACCGCAACATGTCCGTGAGCGCCTTGAGATAAGCACCGTCTCCGTGACACGAACAGCACCAGACTCCATTGAAATTTGTGGTCATTTTAGATTCGGCTATGTTCCTCAGGCACATCTCAGCCGTTCTCCTGATACGTTCCCGTTTTAGTACTGTAAAAAACATTTATTATAAACCCCCAGGGTATTTGAAATATATAACTCCTGTTTTGTTTTGACAGCTGATTTATTTAGGACGTGTAAAAGCAACAGTTTAATTCAATTCAAATTCAAAAATACTTTATTAATCCCAGAGGGAAATTGAAACAAATTCCTACTTTCTAAATTGTGGTGTGGATGTATTTTGTGATCTCATTACATTTCCCGCACATATGTGCAATGTAGCAATATAATAAAAACATAAACACGTTTTTGTTTTTAAACACTTTATGTAATTAATATTTTTAAAGGAACTCAGGTTAAAACTCTGTTATAAAGATTCTAAAATTTTATTATTAAACTTCAAACCCTGTAAATTTCATGCAGACAAGATGCTCATATTTAAATTAATGTAAATAATAATAATATAATTGTTCAAAATTATTTCATATACCGGTATGTAAACAGGTGTATCAAAACTGTTTTATGGACCAGACGGAATCAGATCCAGATCAGTCATGTGACTCGCTTACAAAATGCTGTTAAACTTGACAGAAACAAACAAGTTGACCTCTGAAACCTTTCTAGTATGTTTAAGTAGTTTAACTCTGTCAAACTTTTCATTCTTCTTTGCTTAATCTGCATTGAGTCACTCATAACTCTGTAAACAGCTCTGACAGCTGGAGCAGTGCGGGTGATCTGTTTGACAAACTGTAAGTCTTGTTGTTTCCCGTGTTTTTATCCCTCGTTGCATTTTGTCTCTTTTGGGACCACAGCACAATAAACATTCATCTGTGTTCACATCTTTGCCGTATTGACAGCTAAATCCCCTCACATCCAAAGGCCATCACACCCAAGATGTGTGCTGATGTTTGATGACACTTGAGCTGTCAACCCTCTTGTGTCTCTTTGTGCTGTAGTGCCCAGGTAAATGACCTCATGGAGGAAATGGGTGATAAAGCAAACAGATAAGGCCCCTGGTACCTGTTGACCACAGCCAGAACCTCCTAAATCAGGACCCAGTGACACGGTGTTCCATCAGTGCCTGCTTCAATGACACCCACAAGGCATTGAGCTCTTATCTACGATGGCCCCTGCTTAGCATTCACGCCATTCATTCAAACAATGCTACCTCTTCCCGTTCATTGGATCTGTGACTGACAGTGGGTGTTGGTGCACTTGTGTCTGACTTCAGCCTCTATCTGCCACTGAGCTGTTTGTCCAGTCTAGATACTCCACCAAGACACAATAAAGGGTGTGTGTCCTTCTCGCCACTTCCTGTGCTGGGTTTCTAACTGGACCTTTAAAAAGACCCTACTCTTTATTTGGCACTTTGTTTTCCTCCCCAAAGAGACTTGTTTGAAATGGGGGAACGTTAAACCAGCAGGGCTGACTAATGGCCACCACCAACCAGCCAGCGAGGTGGAAATATCTGCATGGTCAGACGTTGAAACAGCAGATAAGCCTTTCATAAACATCAGAATGATTCTAGAGAATGAGTTGTGATTTGGACAGAGTTGTAGGACAAAATACCAGATAACGTTGCAGGTGTAATTCTTGACGTTATATTGGAAGGCGTATCTAAAAACGGAGCTTTTGGGGTACGTGTAATCTGTTTTGTTTTCATCTTTTAGCTCAGATCTTATTTTTGACGAGAATGATAGCGGAGCTGGGGATCTTTGGATCCCAAGCCTTCATAAAGGCTCCTGTGAGGCAGGGTTATTATAAAACGTCCATAATACGTCCCTGTGTTCAGCAGGTCCCTCTCTCCCTGCTCTTATTTATGAATGGCAGAATCTGACAAGCAGGCAACTCAGGTGGGGAGCTGCAGATCACATGATATCAGTGCTAAGCGAGGAATGTGGACAGGGATCCCTCCCTCAGTTTTTCCCAAAAAACTCCCAACAACTTTGATGCACCATATCATAACAAATACTCCCCGTCCCCTCCCCGTTTCAGTCCTCATACATGTGGCGCTAAAGATGAGGGGAATGGGTTGTTGGGGGCCACAGATAGTGGCTGTGTTTGATCTGAAGGTCGCCAGCCCCTTGCTGGTGTTGAGAGATCCTTGGCGGACGGGGCTGGCTCTTATTTAATAACATGAAGGGGAAGCGGACCTTTATCTCATAATTAGGCCTAATTACCCAGTAGGTGTGGACAGACGGCCCAAGAAGAGACAAACTGCCTTTATCCATGGATTTAGAGTCAGATTACTCAGAGCTGTCTTATCTGTTTCAGGGCCGGCAGGAGCCTCCGTCCTCCTCGCTTACCTCTTCCCTCTGGCTCCTGTATCCATGCAGCTCTGGAATATTAACCAGTCAGCCTGATTTATTACGCCTGCTCCGTGACACACGGGCTTAATTAAACTGGTTGATTACAACATTCTGTACAAGAAGAGACAAACTACCCAGTAGGAAGAGTGACTGACAGTGATGTTCTGGCCTTTTGTGATCTACAGCTCAGACACTTCATAAAGGCACATGAATTAAAACTGATGTGGAGAACTTTAACACTTGTTTAGCTGCATCAGGAACTTATATTTGCATCTACCAGATTAAACGAAAAAAGGACCGGCACATTCCGGCTGCCTCCTGCTGCTGACTAGCAAACGTTGAGCACTGGGAGCAGATTTGAGTGACATCCTGCCACCGTATTGTTTGTTTACTGTATCTGTGTGTCTTTTCCTGAGCCGCCTGCATGTTTGTGTTTGGGTTTGTGGACCACTCTCTCGAAGCCACAACAGCAGACCCATTGTTTAAGGTGGTAGTTCCAGGGACTGGGAAATGCTGACGCCGGGAAAAAGAGTGGCAGCACTCCACCTAGGAAGCAGCGGAGGGGGAAAATGGCCATTATATTTAAATTTTAGTTTGGTTTTAGAAGTCCTCGAGCAAACTACGGTCTCCACGTCTGGCCTGGGCCGTCGCTGTTGATTGACAGCAAGCTGCGTCGACCGGTGGAGTGTTTTGCTGCTCCTGATTTTCAGACAATGAGAACAGCAAGTTTCAGGCTGCTGTATCCGTGACTAATAACTTCATGCTGGCATACTGCAAAAGGACAATAAGAGATACTTAATCCACCTGTTATCAGGATGAGCCTCCTGTCACACACACAACCACAGGAATGCAGTCTTACCCACCCTTTCACTGGACCAGCAGCTAAACTGAAAAAGCTGATGGCTTTTTATCATTCGAAACCAGAAAAACATTTATACAATTGTTGCTGTAAAACAGACAGAGAAATGTATAAAACAACAAAGTATCTAAAGCTGTTAAATGCTTTGTGTAGGTATAAAATACCATTTGTGTTTAGGTGCGTGTGAAACGAAGCTAAAACACCACGTTTCTGTTCTCTGGTGGATCTCTACAGAAGCTCCTGTGCCTTGTCCTTGTGTGACTGCAGCGGAGGGCTGTGTGCTTAATCAGGCGGGCTGGTCAGAGGTCTCTGTCTCTTTGCTTCATGGATTCACATGGACAATTTAACCACTAACCTCCTGAAATGAGCAGCTTCTGAATGCCTCAGGCTCCAGTTTCAGTATCTGCTGATAGCAGGGGGCAGGGGTTGTGATAAGTAAACGCAGGCCAATGGCAGCGAGATGCACACCACAAAGCACAGTTCGCTGCAAAATATTTATTGTCCTCCGACAACAATGTGCGTGCGTGCAAGTTCATTTACAAACCAACTCAGGATGCATTTTAATGAAGCTCCCTGCTTCGAGAGGAACAGCACAGCTAATGACATGAGCACACATAATAAAAGTGGCGTTAGGTGTACAGATATTTATCTAAAACTTGGAGTTTTATTGGCCAAGAGTCATACCAATCAGATGCCCTGAGCATGACTCATATCACAAGATTTGTTCTCAAGACTTTGTCGTTAAATTTTGGAGTCAACTTTGTTTATTTGGTGTACGTTTTAGCATTCTTACAAGGTACACTAAGTTTTCAACTGTAAGGCTGTAATTATACGTTTAATAATAATAGTGTTGAAGTGTGTTGCATTAGCTCTGAAAACATCTAATTCTGCAGCATTTGCCTCAAAGACTTTCAGTTCTTCTGGTTGCAAACAGCTAGTTAGTGTTGTTGGTCTTCCTGGTGACTTTCTCTTAATAATTCTCTCAATAAAATACACTAAAACTTGCTTTTAGGGTTCGAGTTATGAGCAGCCAATAACCAACGATTGCTTGCGTATGAAGACACGTGAGCAGCTTTATTATGTAGGAGCCTTATTTCCTTGCAGCATACCTGCGGTTGGTTTGGTTTCCTCAGCTTGCCGGCCTACAAACGACATAAAAGCATGAGCTGTTACCTTTGCCTCTGGGACAATGGCTGTTGATCACAAGAGGAGTGACAAGCCTGAATCTTGGTGTGTTTACTGTAATTAAGCTGTCAGGGGTCGTGATTTATGATGCACTGAGTAAGAGTGGTGCTATCACATGGAGGAAGACGGAGTGAGAGAAAGCCACGGGGTTTATTGCTACTGACGGAAGAGGAAATAGTTGAACACAACGGTGTCCCACGTGGATCAGAAAAGCCAGAAGACAAACGGGGAGAGCCTCTCGGACCCCCTCTGCTAAATGTTTGTGCAGAAACAAGATTGTATTAATAATTGGACTCAGCTGGCACCAATTCGACTTCTTTATCTCCGACTGAGTTAAGTTAGTCCACTGAAATGAAATGTTTCATCTCTGCAGAAGATGTTTGGTCTCTTGGTTTTCATTAGAAAATGCCCCCCCCCCCCATGTAATCCTAGTTGGACCTTACATGTAACATTTTAATCAGGTGGATTTTTCTTTTGCAGCGTGTGTGACGGTGATGGTTTGCAGCAACTTTGCATCTCACATCAATTCATGATTGACTGATGTCCCTTCCTGCTCCGCATCCCATTTACACTCTGAGGGGAGCTGGTGGTGCCCTCAACACCCTCCACTTTAGATGCCATGGAGAGGACCCCCACCTGCTGTTCTCTGGGTCAGTCCAACTCTGCCTTTTGCCTCATTAAAACTTGGGGTTAATATTCTGAAAACAACATTTAATTAAATGGTTTTATTGTGTCATATATTAGGAATCAACATGTTTTATTTAGAGTCTGAGGGGTTAGCCAATAAAACATCACATCAGTTATTTTAGCTATATAATATGGTGTCCAGGGTTCTCCCCAGAAAATGAGTTAAGCCTGGCGGCTTCGGCTGTCGGGGGGTGGGGGGTGGGGGTGGGGGGGTGTTGCACACGTTCCGCTGCTGTTTCTCACCAGTATCAGCTGATGGAGGGCTCTAGTTTCGCTGCGCCGTTCGTGTCAGCGGACACGGTAGGGTCGGGGAGGGGGGCGTGACGCTTAGCCTGGCGGGCCGCCAGGCCTATAAAGTGCTGGGGGAAACCCTGGGTGTCTGAATATGAATTTCAGGTTAGGGTGGACACGTTTCGATCTGTTACATTTATTATTTGATGTCATTTTCTTTTCTTTATTGTGCAAAGAACCTGCATGGTATTAAACTGAAGTCTACCGCATCACCAAGTGTCCTCCCAGCTGCCATAGTGCTGTGTTTGTTAAATGACAACATCATAAAACATTCTTTATGTGTTTTAGATTTGGTCTACCACCCAAAGATTACCTCTGGCCTCCACCTGGCCGACCCTTGGGCACCTTTCTTGGGTCGTACCTGAGTGCTAGGTGAAGCTGTATGTTGTGCATAAACAGTAAATAACTTGAATGGTTTTTAGATCTGGAAAAGGTTCCATCCACATCTGGAACCTGAACAGCAGGAGGGCAGAGAAGGTCGTGGAGGCTCATTCTGGTAGTTCAGTCACCTGGGTCAGCACACTGCAGTCTACAGACACCCTCATCAGGTGAGTCCCCCTGAATGCTCCAATTCTCCCATTTGCTCTTCTACAATCTGCTCTTTAACTGTATCATTTCCTGCTATTTCAGCTGTTAACTTTATTTTTTCTCTAAGTGTTTTTCTGCCCAGAAGAAGCTACAACGGTGTTCTGCTGAGCTCTGGTGGCCTCATGGAGGGGGCCATCGTCTAGCACACTGCTGCTAACCACTTAAAACATTCTCCCTCTCCTGATAATAACTTTTTACTTTCTTTGACGTTGGATGTGCTACTACTAGTTTACCCGTGTAATTATAGATTCACTAGGATAAATACAATAAAGTTTATCTCTCACCAAATAGAATATTTACTAAGAAATCACAATGTAACCATAGACACATTACTTGGTGTGTGTGTGTGTGTGTGTGTGTGTGTGTGTGTGTGCGTGTGCATAATTGTTTGTCCTGTGTGTCTCTTTGTTGCCCTGCGATGGACTGGCTCTCTGTCCAGGGTGTACCCCAGGGCGACGGTGGCACAGGAGTTAAGTGCTCGCCCAGTAATCGGAAGGTTGCAGGTTCGAGTCCCGCTCAGTCTGTCGCTGTCGTTGTGTCCTTGGGCAAGACACTTAACCCACGTTGCCTGCTGGTGGTGGTCGGAGGGACCGGTGGCGCCAGTGCTGGGCAGCCTCGCCTCTGTCAGTGCGCCCCAGGGCAGCTGTGGCTACATTGTAGCTCATCCCCACCAGTGTGTGAATGTGTGTGTGAATGGGTGAATGACTGATTGTGTTGTAAAGCACCTTGGGGGGTTCCAGGACTCTAGAAGGCGCTATATCAAATACAGGTCATTTACCATTTACCCCGCCTGATTGCCCGTTGACCGCTGGAGATAGAAGCCAGCCCCTCCCCACGACCCTAAGTGGACAAGCGAGTTCAGAAAATGGATGGATGGATGGATGAAGATTACTTTAGGTGTTTGTGGTCAACGCACCACAGTCAGGACCACCTTTCTCCTTCCTACATGAGTGGATTATTTTCTGTCAGACTCTGCTCATCAGTAGATTCTCACGATAAAAAAAAACAATCTGCCCTCTATCACTTCTAGCGATTTGTGCATAAAGACATGAGAAAAACATCCTGGTGTCCTCCAGGTTCTCAAGTGCACAAACACACACAAAGACAACCATGCCACATTTATTAACACAACAGACAAAATTGAAAATGCATAAAAATAAGTTTACGTGTTGTGGCTGATGAAGAGCCAGTGTGACCACCTCTATAAAAGCAGGGGTTTGGTCGTCTGGAGCATACAAGTGTGTGTCAACTCAAATATAAAGCCAATATATTCATTCGCTTTCTCTACCCGCTTATCCACGCAGGGTCGCGGGGGGTGCCTATCTCCAGCTGTCTGGACAAGCAGGCGGGGTACACCCTGGACAGATTTCCAGGGCAACACAGGACAAACAGTCAAGCACACACGCACACCTAAGAACAATTTAGACAGACCAGTTAACCTGACAGTTATGTTTTTGGACTGTGGGAGGAAGCCGGAGCACCCAGAGAGAACCCACACATGCACAGGGAGAACATGCAAACTCCTTGCAGAAAATCCCAGGTTGGGATGTGAACCCAGGACCTCCTTGCTGCAAGGCAACAGCGCTAACCACTGTGTCACTGTGCAGCCCAGCCAGTATTTCATATTAAGATAAATTAATCCTGCACTAAAAACATGTAAGGTCTGGACTGGTTGACCCTTCAAATTCACTCTAGTGGTAAACCGTCAATTCAATTTCAATTCAGTTCAAGTTTATTTATATAGCGCCAAATCACAAGTGTCGTCTCAAGGCACTTCACATAATAAACATTCCAATTCAGGTCAGTTCATTAAGCCAATCAGAAAAAAGTTTCCTATATAAGGAACCCAGCAAATTGCATCAGCTTTCCTCCCACTAAGCAAGCATTTAGTGACAGTGGAGTGGAAAACTCCCTTTTAACAGGAAGAAACCTCCAGAGAATCCTGGCTCAGTATAAGCAGCCATCCTCCACGACTCACTGGGGATCGAGAAGACGGAGCACACACACACACACACACACACACACACACCAAGTAATGTTTCTATGGTTACATTGTGATTTCTTAGTAAATATTCTATTTGGTGAGAGATAAACTTTACTGTATTTATCCTAGTGAATCTATAATTAAATGAGTAAACTAGTAGTAGCACATCCAACGTCAAAGACAGTAAAATGTTATTATCAGGAGAGAGAGAATGTTTAAGTGGTTAGCAGCAGTGTTCAAGCTGTCCGTAACCAAAGAGCTCCATGTCAGCATAGGTTAGCAGGTTCAAGAGTAAAGGTCATGTCAACATAATTAAAGTATGGCTTGTTTGTAAGAGCTGCAAGAGAAAGCCTCTCCTCTAAAATAATTTGGCAGACTTTATTTATTTAATTTTATTGTTGTTGCATTCTGTGTTTGAGAGTAGAACTTATGCTTTTCACGATGACGTCCACACAGGTACAGTTGGAGGTTCAAACTAACCACCAGTATATAGTCTGTTTATAATGAGCTCCTTGTTTATATTTTTCCATGTAAACTTATGCTTTTCGTGAAAAATTAACCTTCTAACGAAGCATTACGTAACAACAATATGTGTGTTTTCTGTTTTCTGTGTGACTGCTGCAGCCAGGGACGGGACATGCAGGTCTGTCTTTGGGATCTGAACGAAGGCCGCAGTGAGCTGCTGGAGTCTGTGTGGACCGGCAGTGTTGGATTCTGTCAGTGCTCCTTGCTGGAGACGAGCCCCACTAACTACCTGCTGGCTTTTGCAGGCCAACAGACAGAAGAGGTAGGACAGGAAAAGGAAGGTCTCCCAGTTCTCCCACTGTCCATCCCACACCGGGATGTGCTCCAAGTACCCCACAACCACAAATGATGAATTTGAAATGTTTGTAAGCATCAAACAGAAGAAAGATGACCGCAACTTAGATAATTGCCAAACTATGCTGCTTATGTCTTTTTGTTACCTTTTCAGTATCACTGATGGAGCAAGAATATGCACAAATGGCTGCAATGTGAAAGCTTTTGTGTTTGTTAAAGGTCTGGTTCTCTGAGAACTCGTTAATACTTGTTCTTTGTAAAATGCCACCAATCACTTTGAGTTGCAAATACATTGGCTGGTAGAAGCATTAGCATTAGCATTAGCAGCTCCACAACATGGCAGAAAATGCTGGTGCTTGTGTTGTTTGTGCAGATGAAACATTTTATACCCATGAAGGAAAAGTGAACAAAGGCAGCAGCATATCATGAATATTAATGACCCTGTTGTTTTCCACCCCCCACTCCTAATAACTTCCAACGTTCGTAAACTCATCATTAGACTTTTCTGCAGAGTTGTTTTATTGACTTTAGAAGATTTATTTTGTGGGTTTTAATTAGTTTCCAGGTTATGAAACTTCTGTGATCTTTACTTTTAAATGCCACCAATCCAATAAAACGTGTCATGGTTGTTAGGGAGTCCGTATGATACACGATCAGGCATTTTGGAGCCAGGAACCGTCAAACAGCAACCAGAATGTCATCATTAATAAATCAAAGTTCACATCTTGAGTCAGTGTGGAAGAACAGGAACATAAAACCGACACCCAGATAAATGTCAGGCAATTTTCACCAAGGTTGGCAACTTTCCATTTAGTGCTTTTGCCTGACACTCTCCATTGCTCTGAGAGAATCTACAAAAACAAGTATAAATGTTATTATTATTCTGGTGCTTAAATCTGACCTGATGAAGTGGTTGTTTGGCTATTTTAACCTTTAGCTGGCAGCACAAAAAGCACCTTTTCTTGTGTCTACACTGGAATGAGGTCACAGTTTTGCTTGTTGTGTAGTGCAGACAAGCTTGTATGGTTTAGCGAGGAGTCAGTGTCTGAGAGGTGAAGCTGGACAGGGAGAAGGCAGCCAGCTATTTAGCCATCTTTTATTGCCTCCAGATTCATGTTACTTGCTTTGCCGTGGAGGAGACGCACTTGAAAGGGACGGAGTGGTCACCTGATCCAGCCAAACGTGCCTCTGCTAACCCCGGCCAAGCAGGCCAGGCATCAGGGCGCCTGTGACTCCCAGCACCTCAATAATGCCATTGTCCCAACAGACACAGACAGAGGCACACCTATACAGCCATAAAAGGCTGGCCAAAACAGACCCAAGCCGATTTTGTCATCCAGACTCTCCACCTCATTCTACGCAGACACAACGGGCCAAAAAAAGATGCTTATCATGCATCTGCTAAGTAAAACACCCAAATTAACAAATTCCCCAAGAAACAATGCAGAGGCACATGCCACAGAGCATGCACCAATGCACGCGTTTGCAATGTGGGCAAAAGAAAACAGGTCAGTGCTCAAATATGAGAAAGCAGTTTTAATGTGAGCTGCTTTGGGTGGTTTCTGTGTTTACTGTACTCACAGTGAGATTCCTGCCAGCAGAGCGCTGCTGTGGTACAAACATTAATTAATTGCATAGGTGTTTTATTTATGGGCAGTTTGATGCCACACAAGAACAGAGATCACCTGAGGCACAGACAAGTCTTTAAAAGCTCTCTTTGTCAGGCACACAGAGGTAAACACGTAGGACAGATGTGGCCTGGTGATAAAATACAGATCACTCGCTTAAAGGGCTATTTAATAGCAGGCCTAATGACGATGAATATGCGAATCATCAGCACAGAGGAAGTGAGAGCTTTAGTAGTGATGTGGGTGCACACACACACACACACACACACACACACGCACGCACGCACGCACGCACACACACACACACACACACACACACACGCACACACACAGGCATACAGAGGCACACACTTGATTATTAGCTTCATTAGCTGCTGTAGTTTTATGAGAATTGGTGCCAATGTGTGCAGGAAAACACAGCTCGTGTCACAGGGTCAACTTTAACGCGATTGATTATAGACAGTGTGGCGGCTGCCCTCCACTGATGGATACAACTGTCCTGCTGGATGAAGGCACACGTCTGAAAAGCGACCACAGCTTCAGGGCGAGGCTTAGCTGCAGTTTCCTCCACATATGTCTTACAGTTTTAAAACTGAATAGGTTAAGCAAACTTACTTTAGGATTCTATAGTGAACTTCAGGATAAAATAACACACTTACCTCCTCAGTGGCCTAGTGGTAGAGTGTCCGCCCTGGGACTGGGAGATGGGGGTTTAAATCCTGGTCGGGTCATACCAAAGACTTTAAAAATGCTCCCCATTTGACACTCCGCTTTAAAGGGGTTGGATTGGGGGAGTTAAACCATCGAATAGTTCCTGAGCGTGACCACAGCTGCAGCTCACCGCTCCCCACGGGGAGGGGTCAAACGCAGAAATGTAATTTCACCTGTGTGTGATGACTAATGGGACTTTAATCTTAACTTTATTATATTATTGCATAAGTGCTCACATGGTACTCTCACAAGTATGGACTTGGGCATTTTTACCACATAACCTAAGGCTGCGGTTGGCACCAAATGCACTACAAACTATTACCGTGTGCTTTTCAGAAAAAAACTGTTATTGCTCTATATCCTCATGCAGTTGGTGCAGGGATATTTTGGTTCTGTCGTATTGTTGTGTCCCTGTTTTTTTCTCTCTTCCTGCCGGTCTAGAAGGAGATTCTTCTACATCCTTTGTTTATTTTTGTGAACAGTTTTTTTCTTCTTATACATGATATTACAGGTTTATGGTCAGTTGGCTGATTGTCAGAAGCTGGTTTAGACTGAAGCATCCAAACCATTCAGACAGAATAACAGAAGCTTTGTGTCGAGCGCTGAGAGCAGTTCTCAACAACAGTCACAACACATTTTAGCGTATAATCTTTAAAATGGCAGAGTAGAAGTTTGCTAACTTTGACTGGATGTGGCGGCCATCTTGAATGTAATCTGGTAGATGTTTATGGGCTTGTTCGAGTTGAGAAAACAGACGAGAGCAGACGGACGCAGCAGGGGGAGTGGCTGAAAGCCGGCGTTTAAGCCGAACAGATTTCCCTACATGTAGCTCGCGGGTGACGACGGATGAAGATGTCGCGTTAGAGTTCATGCTTGTTTAATTTTTTTTTTAATTCTGGTGCCTGATAGCAGCTGAAACACATCCTCACGTGCTTGTGGATATCATATAATGCATATGAAGACATGACTGTAATAATAAGTAAAGGTTATCAGCTGTAGGTTTAGTGTGCTCATAGGAAACGTGACAAATAACACAAAACACATTTCTCTTTATGGCCTACATTATGCATTCTACCACCGGATGTTTGGATCAAAATGTGAACCAATCAGGTCTTAGATCAGGTGAGAGCCAGGCGTTTCCCGTCATGCCGGTTTTGCAGCCGGTGGAGAGCAACTGCAGTGCCTTGCTCCAAAATCTGCGGCCGCCTTGATCTCACGAGGTGATCGTTGCCTACGTATGCATGATGTCAGAGCAAGTCGGACACAAATCTAACCGGCATGCACTGCGCGCCGATCACCGGTGATGGAATCTGCGCAGAACTGGCTCATCTCGAACAAGCCCTATGTTAGTATTAAGCAGGTATACGCTCACCTAAAGGATTATTAGGAACATCTGCTCAACTTCTCCATGATGCAATTATCTAATCAGTTGCTTCAATGAATTTAGGGGTGTGGTCCTGGTCAAGACAATCTACTGGACTCCAAACTGAAGGTCAGAATGGGAAAGAAAGGTCATTTAAGCTATTTTGAGCGTGGCATGGTTGTTGGTGCCAGACGGGCTGGTCTGAGTATTTCACAATCTGCTCAGTTCCCGGGTTTTTCATGCACAACCATTTCTAGGGTTTACAAAGAATGGTGTGAAAAGGGAAAACATCCAGTATGCAGCAGTCCTGTGGGCAAAAATGCCTTGGTTGGTTCGCTGGAGTTTTGGGCAATTACGCCCACATTTTCTAAGTTAAACACATGTCTTTCAACAACAGTAGTTTCTGCTTAAGCACCCCCCCCCCCTGCGCAGTGGCCACAAACTCTCTGATGCGCCTGCAGCCTCTCGGAGTTCCTGCTGCTCTAAACATTAAAATAATTATTTCATTTTCTGTTCCTCACTTCTGATTACCGTCAATGGTGTCTGTTTGTTGCAACCACCAGGTACAAAAACTAACTTGTTTTTATTTGACTATTTTTCTGTCCTGTCTGTTTATTATCTTCCTGCATCTCCTCTCAATCCTAAAGAAAAACTGCTACCTGGGTTCATATATATTCACCTTATGAGTTACCTTTGAACTGCAGTTCTAAAAGATCTACCGACCACAAAAACAGCGGAGTGCTCGCTGTTGCATCACCGGAGGACAAAACAGGTGATGTGATGTGCTCCACAGCAGCGAAAAGCATCAGGTACAAATAAAAGACAGAAAACATAAAAGGAAATGAGCCGACATGAACGATCGCGTGTTAAATTAGTTTTTGAGGTGGCGACACCTGATTTGATGTTACTGTGGCCGTGCTCAGGACGCAGATGTCTGGAGCGCATCAACAATCAGAGCTTTGCATGCGCAAGCTGGTTAAGGTTAGGATGGGGGTGAGGGGATTGTTAAATTGCAAGAGGGTAAAGGTCACAATTCGGTTAAATGCCCGTTTTACTGTGGGCGTCAGATACCGACGCTCTGGCACAGCGCGTCGCCTCCCAACGCGCAGGGGCTCGTCACCTGCTGTCTTTTCCGAGGACTGCATCTTGACAGTCATTATCACGTGACAGCGACTAGTGGTCTATGAAAGGCATAAAAAGTCACTACAGAGCAGTGAAGTCGACTACTCGACTAGCTGATACAACCCCTACCATGTCCATTTACCCATCCTCTGGTGGCTACTTCCAGCAGGATAATGCACCATGTCATAAAGCTCCAATCATTTCTAATTGGTTTCTTGAACATGACGATGAGTTCACTGTACTACAACGGCCCCCACAGTCACCAGATCTCAAACCGGGAGAGCATCTTTGGGATGTGGTGGAACGGGAGCTTCGTGCCCTGGATGTGCATCCCACACATCTCCATCAACTGCAAGATGCTATCCTATCAATACGGGCCAACATTTCTAAAGAACGCTTTCAGCACCTTGTTGGATCAACGCCATGTGGAATTAAGGCAGTTCTGAAGGTGAAAGGGGGTCAAACACCGTATTAGTATTTTGTTCCTAATAATCCTTTAGGTGAGTTTATAACAGGTATAGATATAAATCCACTGAAGTTTGAGACCAACACTTGTGTTTTTCCACAGATCAAGATTATTGAGCTGCCCAGTAAGAACCCAGTCTGCACCCTGACACCCAAGGCCAAGGTGGGAATGGTCATGTGCATAAAACTATGGAAGGTAAGTTAGGCAGGTGGTTACGACGTCAGCAGTTTACCTTAACTGTAATCGTGTACATGTCAGGTTTAGCTGGTTTCCTTCGACAGCCAAGAGATTCACGCTTTTTTCTGATTGGCCAGCCCCACATGACAAGATGCTGTAACAGACAAATCAACAAACGCACATGTGAGTGGCGTTGTGTGATTTACAGCCTAACAACTCATCCCAGGCCATTTTTCCATGCCTGTCTTCTCAGCTGGCAGCAAGTCCCAACACTGTAATTAGAGCGTTTGGAAAGGCCGTGGGTTCACAGCCATATATCAGCCTGCAGCTGTATATCCAATCTGATCTGGGCTAAAAGTTAGCTTTCTGTTTTGTATATGCTGTTGAAAGTTTTATTTGCCACCCAATAATAGGAGCATGTAATTATTTTCACGGTTAATAATTAACTTTTTGGGTTTGGGGGCTGCGGGCTAACGGCTTTCTTTGCATACATTTTATGTCCCGCTTAGTTTAAATGCTAAAAAAAAGTAAAAACACAGATTACCATGTTGAAATTTAGGGTCATGACTGACTGAGTTTGGGGTTCAGTTATCAAGTTAGTCATGTCGATGTTGCGTTTGTGTTTTTATTGTTTTGCTTTGATTTTCTCGCTGCACCCACCTTTCATGGTCTGATTTATGAGCCAGATCTGGCTCAGCGTTGAGTGCCAGGAAGCAAAATGATCAATTATAGCAGAATAAATTATATAATATCATTGTAATACAGCTGTCTGACTTCAAAGCTCTAGGGCTCTGGTGATTGTAAATCATTTCATGCTGATTCCTTTCAAGGCAGTGGCATGCTCGTCTGTTATGCTGACTTGGAGTCTTGAGAGCTACACTCTGGAAAAAGACCCCAAACATGAATTTATGAACATGTGCAAATCCCTCCTATACTCTCTAACTCATGCATTTTGTCAGTCACGAGAAAAAAAAAATAATTCTCGTCACATCAAATAAGCTGCCCGCTGCACCCTTCAACCCACACAGCTGGAGGCAGCAGCTGGAGGCAGCAGCTGAAACAAAAAAACATCAACTTTTTCTGTCCGTCCTACTCGCCATCACTCGTTTGCACCATTCTGTAGAGGAAGTGACTCCCTTCCTTTAGTTAAACCCCCCAACAATTATCATCTCTGAAATTGTACTTATTAGATTTTTGCTGTGAACAGATCCCACCCAGCTCTTAGGTGGAGTTGATTGTTCAGTTCCTCGCCTGATTGGGTATGAAGCAGTGAACAGAGGAGTGTAAGGTTGTAGAAAGCCTCCACATGTGGGTGAAGCTTGGCCGCAGGGACGGTGGTGATGTATGATGTGCGAGGCCTTTAATGTGAGCAGAGGCTGGCTGGGAAAAGGAAATGTTCCTACGCAGATATCCATCACTCCAAGCTCATCGCCTCGCCGTCTCGTGGTCGTGACATCACAGTGGGACTGGGACAGCCGCAGAGGGAAGCGACTGGTTCTTCATGTCGTAGCCGCTCCTGCTCTCAGGGTTTCTCATATAGCTGGTTTATATTTTTTTACATGATTTCGTTTAATTTGTTCCTGATTTTGTTTAAATGTTCCTTACAGCTTATTTCATTCTATCCAGAAGTTGTTTTTTTTTCCTTTCAGCCATCTTGTGAGTTAAAACCAACAGATGAGTGGAGTACATTAATGCTACTTTATTTTTATAGTAATTAAAATCAGTAATCACATTCAACCCAGAAATCCCCATTAAAGAACTCAGTCCTTGATATGACATGAAGAGTTGTTCGTAGACCCGACTTTTAGGACTAAAGCTCTCCAAGAGGCAACAGTGTGACTTCCATCAGACTGGAAAAGATCTGCTTTAGTCTGCACACATGTCTAGAGTTTTTATTTACTCTGAAATAATGTTTATTTAGATAAAATATTCATGACATTAGTTTTAAACTGAGAGGAGCAGTAGTAGGAAATGTACATGTTCTAATTCTACAAGTCTCTCTGTTGAGAGAGCTGTCACCATAACCAAACGAGTGTGTGTGTTAGAACGGCCTAATCACAGATTACCTGTAATCCTTCTGACGAGACGCTAATTGAAAATTAAAGCATCAAGCTGACAGCTGCCACTTTATTATTCTGAGTGCTGACGGCAGTTTATCAGATTTAAGACGAACGTTGATGTAGCAGTTTTCCAACCAGCTATGAGAATTTACACGCTTTATTAGAAATGAATGGTTTAAGGGTGTCAAAACTACTGTTTCTATTTTGTAAAATTGATTGAAATCCAATCACAAACATGAAGCTTCCTGGTGAAGTTAGATTTTCCTCCACTGGTCCGTCTTCTCCAAGCAGCTTCCAGCCGTCTGTCCTTCCAGTTGTTCCCCTGTGATGAATCTCCTCCCAGCACCCCAACCCCACTCCAGTAGAGAGCCCTCTTGTAGAAAGGCCTATGGAGGATATAATGAATTAGGTGTCTACCTAGGGTTCCCTGACCTCTGACCCATGACATCATCAATCAAGAAGGTCCTTCACTTAAGTGAAACGGTGGGCCCCAATCTGGAACGCTTAGCTCGATCCCTGCCGGCGAGCAGGGGGCCGCTGATTTTCACTTGTTTTTATTTGTTTTCATAATCCCTCGGTGTTCGTCCTCGCTGATGTGTTTGGAAGGAATACATGACTCTGTCTATAATTTGTTTAAAGCTGTAAGAAGAGAAATTTAGAGCGTTAACAGAGAAGACTTGAACGTAGATGAAAAATGGTGGACGTGGCCTTCGCACACATATGGAAAAAATTTCTCTCCCTCCTGGTTCATGCCTGGCACTGTGCTGTTCCTGGCGTTCCGATCATGTGACTTTAAAACAAAGCTACAGCTGGTACACAAACGACGGTCTGTTTACCGTCTGAAACGCGCGTCCGTTAGTCTGTGGTACTGAGTTCGTGTTCGACAAAGTCCTGATTTAATTTTGATGACATTTCAGCTGTGTGTGTGTGTGTGTGTGTGTGTGTGTGTGTGTGTGTGTGTGTGTGTGTGTGTGTGTGTGTGTGTGTGTGTGCGCGTGTGCGTTTGTAAAGGAAAGTTCTTTAAGTTGATCAGTTAATCCTGCCTTTTTGATCTAACTCTCCTCTGTCTCCTCTCGCTTCTCACCTCCAGCATTGCAAATATATACAGAGCTTCTTCTTTTTGTCTCCTCATCATTTTTTCAATTCACATAATTAATTTATAAACTCAGCACTACCTAAACATCACTGTTGGAGCCGTTTTCCAGCACAGGGTGGTTATCTGTGATAACAGAGATTATTTTTTTCACAGATTGCACCATGTGCTCATTTAATGGGAGTGTGTGTTTTTCTTCAAACTGACTTGACTATATTGTTAAAGATGATGCCTGTTTGTGCTTCTGGTTTTATTTTAATTGAAAGACTTATTAAGCTTTATGTAAATATTGTGACTATTCATTATCCGCTGGTGAAACTGGGATTAAGCAGGATTACCTTTTCAGGGTTCGTCACTCAAGCTTTAATCTTTAGTGTTTATCAGAACAATTATTTGTTTCAGTGTGTGACTAACAGAAAATCACATGTCCTGGATGATTGCAGGACTTTCTGTTGTCAGTTTTTAATGTAATTTTGAAACTTTTACCTTTTATTAAATAAGCAGCACTTCTATGGGTTTTTATGGGCGTCGTTTCTACAAATGAAGCTTTATGGTTCTTCTTCTTTTTTTATCTTTGATTCGGTTTACCATGGTGTTGTCTGGAGACTTAAGGGACTTTTCGGACTTTTGAATTTTTATGCTCGCGATTGCCCCTCAGGCCAAAAGCGTAACGGCAGCTTCAATAGTAGGCTCGTGCACGAGGCGCGCATGCTGTACGTGCACACTCCTTAATGAAAATAACAGCTGAGACAGTCCTGTGTGTGTATGTGTGTGTGTGTGTGTGTGGGGGGGGGGGGGGGGGCTGGAGGACAGAGGACAGGAGAACAGGTCAGTCCTCCTGCATGCTCAGATCATTCCCTTCCCTTGCTTGAAAAATTGTTCCAAAATGAAAGTTGAACCCACATCTTTTTTATCTGTGAATTCAATGCCGTTCGGCGAGTCTCAAATAACAATTTGGGCATCTTACTGTAAAAAAATATACCATTAATGTAAAAAAGATACTCTAAATAAAGTATTTCTCACCCAGACTCGAACCCAGGTTTTCTGCATGAGAGTCAGACATCTTACAAGGTGAGCTACATACCAGTAACATTTAAAATATCTGTAACTTTTATGTCCTTGATGACAGCTGAAACAACGTCAAACCAAAGTTTGGAGTGAAAATGGCTATCTTGTTGCGAATTTGCAGGAAGAAAGTAGCTAAGGGTCCTCAAAAATGTAGCTAGCTTTGTCACCAGGCGTTAGGAACAGCGACAAAGTGGCACTACCTCACTCTCTGCTGCTAAAGCTACTAATGGCAAATGCTACGGGCTATACCTGAGCGTGAACGCGCATGAAGCAGCCTGCTTGACCCGAGAAGCTCTCTTTTTCTGTGATTTTACAGAAAAACAGGCAATCACATTAAAAATGCCAGGGTTCATTCTACAGGACCAGGGCATTTCAGGAGAATGTATGAAGAAGACATTTATTATTTCTACACATGTTTTGGCTGTCAAACTTCCATAATGTCCCTTTATGAACCATAAAATGTGAGATTCCATAGAAATATGAAATATCAATCTGATGGATCTTTGAATATTTTAACCAGATGATCAGAACTTTTTATTGCAGGGATTATGTGACACTTTGTATTAACCCCGAGGAAAGTGAGAGAGTCAGGTTTATAATAGTTAAGAAATTTATTTCTACACAATTTAAACAAGACCAACTTTAAACACTCTGTGTACTGATGAATTAGGTGGAATAAGACGTGAGATGAATGATGTATATGTGTGGAATGTGGTTATCAGAACCTCGTATCCGGAGAATCATTTAGTTCTGAGTGGGAGTGAATGTTTCACTCTAAACTTTAGTTGAAGATTTATAACACACATGAAACGCCATCTGTTGGTCTATGTACCCCAGGGGAAGCCTCCGTTTAGATCCAGAATGTCGAGGTCCTCTTGGACCCTCCTTGGTACCGAAGCTGGTAGAAACAGCAGTGGTGCCGACCAGTCTAGTCTCAGAATGCTCCCAGGTCACGGCAGGTTATTATTGGCGTCAGCGAGACCCTGAAGGGGTTGTGAGGTTCAGCTTTTATTCTGAAGGAACCGTTGCAGTCAGGTGTAACGTGCAACAGATTTTATCCAGCTTGTCGAGGTTCTTTTGGCTGAAGAGGAAGTCCGGATGGCCTGTCCGAACTTCTCTAGAACGCTTTGAACTAAAGAAAAGGTGGCGTGGAATAGTTTTTATAATTGTCATATTTTGGTTCACTGGCGAATCAGAATTTGACATGAAAAAGAGGGTTTCTACAAACACCACAGAAAATCATGCCTCGCATCAGAAACGAAGGTTCTGATTAGATCAGACAAAAGGAAATGTGTCATGTGACTTTAGCATTACTCTGTGTCATCAGTGTCTAGTGCAGCTGTCCAAGATTATAATTACTTGTAAAATACTACTGATCACAGAATTATAATATAAGTAATAACATTGTCATTTCACAGATTGATTTAACATTGGATTCACGTTATAACTGGCATAAACAAACGTTGTTTGATTATGTAATTATCAAGAGAGTTCTCCTTCTTGTCTTAAGCTGTAAAGAGGTAAAGCAGTTCAGATGAGCAGAGGCATGAAAGGCCTTGGCCAGTATCTCATGTAGATTAGGCCTGTGTCAGAGACGATATGTCTCCACTCGAGCAGACGCAGCCGAGCATGACCTTTAGGTCAAAAGCAGGACATTTCATGACGCTACATGATCAGCTCCAGCACATCTTTTCCGTGGGATCCCTCAGGGTTTGATCCTTGGACCTTTTCTATTCTCTGTACCTGCAAACTTTGTGAACCATTTTGAGAAAATGTGGCATCTCTTTCCACGGCTTTATAGATGGCTGCCAGATTTAGTTAAGACCTGCTCTTGTCCCAAAGTGTCTTGAAGACATCAAAGCCAGGATTGGTCAGGATTCTCGACTTGATGAATGGAACTGTTATGCAGAAGAGCTTCTTGCATTTAAGGCTGAAGTAAAAAAGTATGCCAGTCCTGTTGAGATGAGACCCAGAGAGAATCATAGATGCCTTTAATAGGGATGTCCCGATACAACGGTATTGCACCCTTCAGAATTGACCGATATCAATGTGTTAGGATATCAGCACAAATCATGCTTACTTTTACCTATAACAAGAAAACAAGTGCCAATAACAGTAAGTATGAGAAAAATGAAAAAATGTTCTTAACCATCGGTTGCAAAAACGTGAACCTTGCTTATATTGGAGGTTTTTGATGCCGCCCGATATAATTCGATACACTGTTTTTGGGCCGATATCGAATTACTTCCAATATCGATATCAGAACGGGACATCCCTAGCCTTTAACACCACTGTAATGGACTTGATGTTGGTATCAACCTCCAGTTTGTTTAAAACACTGCTGCCTGTAAAGAAGAAAGAGCGAAAACTGCCTTTTATATAGCACCTCTTAAGATAAAAATCACGAGGTGCTTCACAAAAACAAAAAATTAAAATGTAAAAAAAGATTTAAAAAATTATTAAAAATCTGTTTAAAATGTCTCTTTACTGGAACACAGGAGCCCATCTCGCCCATTATGTCCTCTCTCCATTGACTTCCACTAAACCAGTTTTAAGATCCCGCTCTTGGCCTAGGAATTCCTAAACTGTCTTTCCCCCTGACCTCTCTGACCTACCTTCACAAACTCTTAGATCAGCTGACCAGCTGCTCTTGGTGGTTCCAGCAACTAGGCTGAAACTCGGAGAAGATCAGACATTTTTATTGTGCCCCCAAGATAAATGTGTGTGTGTGTGTGTGTGTGTGTTTTACATTTGATGGAATCTGGGATAATTTTTAAGAAATGTGTTTGTGCATATTTAATCATTTAAAAACCGTTTTACTATCTTAAATGTTTTTCATTTTGCTTTCTTTATTTTAAAGTATATTGACAGCAGGAAATTGATTAAAATATAAATGAAATAACAATTAAAGAAATCCAATCGGTTTTAGACAGAGTGAAAGAAAAGCTCTGCGACAGCAAAGGCAAACACAAACTCAAGAGTAGCTAAAATAAACAATAAAAATGCAACATTTGGATTTTAACCAACCAGATGCTTTGGCGGGTGTCTACAGTGATGTGAGCTGGCTGTAAGGTCCACAGCTCAGGAATATGGATGAGTTGTAAAGTGAGGAGTGGTGTAATGTGTTCTGATGGAGGCTGACGAATGGAGCCCACAGCGTCTCTGAGTGTCAGCAGGAGCTCCCAGCATGATAACCTCTGCTCCTCTCAGCTTCCAGCACCAGTCAGCGGTTTCTGTGGCTTTTACGGCTCGGCTCGCACGTCACATCTTAACTCGGACTGCTTTGTGTGTCCTCGCTTCCTTGACTTCTGTCCCTCCTCCTTTCTCCCCCTCTTGCAGACGAACTCGGGTCTTGGACCGCTCCTGTTGGCTGGTTACGAGGACGGGTCCCTGTTGCTGTGGGACGTAACCCAGAGAGCCAAGCTGAGCCAAGTCAGAGCCCACCCTGAGCCAGTCATGTGCCTGACCTTCGACCCCAGGCGTCTGAGGGGCATATCAGGCTCCTCGGAGAAGAAACTGTCCTCCTGGACGCTGGACAGTCAGAACAACATACAGGTTAGCAGACTCAGGGCTGGACCTGTGGGGCTTTTTAGCCCAATTTTCATTTTACTGTAGCATACTCATTTTTAATTATAATAATGAAATTATTTATGTTTGTTAATAACTTGATTTATTCAAATATACCTTTAAAGATTTTACTTTCTTTCCAGATTTGTATCCACGTTTTTCTGCTTTTATAATTCTAACAGTAGTGTCCATGCCTTTCAGCTGCCGTTACGTCTTTGTTTTAAATTTATATCAGGGAGCACACATTTATTTAAATAGGGAATTTCATGACAATTGCTTTGATGCAAGCTATTTAAGGAACCATGTTGTTCTCTCAAGAGTGTCCAACCTGCTAACTGATCGTCGCACAATAAACTAAATCCCTCCAAACAGAATAAACTTTATTAGAGGAGAAGGGAGGAGTTTGTTTTCACCACACTGGCTTGGAAAACATTAGAGGCCAAAGAGGAAGAGGCTCAGCGGGGCTCCAGGGGCCATAAATCAGCTGCTGGTTACACAGCGTTGGCAGGGCTAGGGGCCAAGAACCAGCCAGGGGCTGTCACTCTGGAATCACACACACACACACACACACACACACACACACACACACACACACACACACACACACACACACACACACACACACACACACACACACACTGTAATGATACTTCTACAGTGATAAAATGTAAATCCACACTTTGCATTAAAAAGAAATGGGTACAACATCCATTCTAACTAGCATACAGCTGTAGGTACAATTACTTGGAATAGCAGTACATAAAGTTTATACTTTCCGAGTCATCCTAAAGCCCCCGCTACACTTAAAGATCAGCTTTGCACCATAATTCATTTTCCATAACAGCCAATGCTTCAGAGACTCAATGCCTCATTTAAAGCTATATTTTCTCTTGATTTCATGAGCAAAAGGGAAAGCTCCCATTTTTCAGTGAGCTCTCATGAATCAGAGCCAAGGGGAACCTTCGGCTGATATAGTACACTCCGGCTCAGTGAAGGGCTATTATTCTTTCCAGGGCTTTTTATAAATGAGTGCTTGAATTAGAAATATTTGCACAGCTCCATTTTCTCACCCTGAAATTGTGTCTAGACGAACACCATTCAGTATACCATAAACAGCGGGAGAATGGTTATTTGGGTTATTTTGCTCAAGCAACAAAATATTGATTCAGCGTGTAATGCAGGATGAGGATGACAGGGAGAATGCACAAGGAGAGGGAAAGGAGCCAGTAGGGGCTTTTAAATTATCCTGAAGTGCAGCTCAGTGTGACGTCCAGACAGCTATGCTCAGTTCTTCCCACAGAAGTATTTTTGTGTGGCCGGAGTACGGGGGTGGGGGCCCCGCCGGGTGGCAGACCTGGGCCCCGGGTTCTGACGGACGACCTGCGAGAGGTAATAAAAATATCAAAACCTTGGAGGCCCCCAAGACAAACAAAAAACACATCTGCAGTACGGGGAACAGTAGTTCACAGTGGGAGGCTGCAATAAAGACAGAGGAGACTGTAAGTGTCACAGCATCCCACTTCCCACAAATTACCCCTGCGATACAGTTCAGTGCCGTGGAACCGGCTGGCAAGGCAGATGGATAGTTTCTGTTAAATTGAGGGGAAACTGAATGTGACACAGTGCAGTGCAGTTATGATTTAATGAAGCCGAGGGGCTGCGAGGTGAGCTTATCTGGGTCAGATAAAGACAGATAGCCACAGGAATGGAGCTTAATGTTTTACACATGGCTCCAAGAGTTCTGTATCTGCCGCCTGACCCTGCCGGCCTGAGACTGCTTCGTAGTGAAGCATCATCTCAAGCGCCGCTTTCCTTCCAGCGTGCAGTTTTGGGGCGTGTGTCATGGTGAAACCAGGAGGGCGCGGGTGCTAAGAGCTGTTAAGCCACATTGGCGGCCACTCGGACGGACGGACGAGTCGAGTGATTGGTTTCTTTAGCAGAAAAGAGCCAAAGGTTGTGGCCTGCAGAAAGACAAAGCAGGTGCAGACAGAGGAAGATTAGCAGCGTGAATCAAGCATGGCTGACAGCGAGCCGTTTCTGACGACAGTCCTGTACAGGTGGAAGTCCTGTGATCTTAAACCGTTTCCTCTCACCAGCTGTGGCGCTGGTCAGCTGGTGTGGGCCTATTGAGTCACATCAGCGCCAACTTAGATTTTCCCTCTGTGTGAGTTAGTTTGTGTTGTTTTTGTAAAAACCAGCTGATAGTTGTTTTAGTGTCCTCCCCCCCACACCTTTTCCCCTCTCTCCTCTGAATGGGACTGCTCACCTGTTTGACGCATCCACATCATGTCAACCAGAGTGGAGCTCTAACAGACAAGGTGACAAAAGGCTGTAATCTCCACGCTGCTGAGTGTGATTCAGGGACAGGGTGTGTCAGAAATACCTGTGAAAAGCCTCGCAGCCGCTAGGCTCGAGTGAGCGAGCGATGACGGGACGTTTCAGTGGATCAGCACCAACAAGACTTGTGCCAAGACTAAGGTAGGGAGACAAGTGGAGCACAGCTTGATTGAAACCTGCCAAGTGGAGGCTCTTTTTTAATGGATGCTGTGCCAGTAAAATGTGACTAAAGAGGAAGCAGAAAGTCTGGTGGATTCAGCTGCTGAGTGGAATTAGTACCCTCCTGACAGCTGGGAAAGCTGATATTTAACCACTGAAACCCGCCGTGCGTTGATCCAGATGCTGCTGAAACAAAAACACACAAATATGGATTTTAGGAATGTTACAAGGTGATACTTTCAACTGTGGAATGGAGTTAACGCTGATGAGCTTTTCTAAAGACGGGGTTTGGTGAGCCTCAGTCGGCCTTTATATCCTCTAATCTTTGAATCAGTCCATAAGATTTTTTAAAGACTTTAAAATAATTTTGTCATTTTAAAGTTAAAAATAAAATTTTAAGAGCTTTTGAATGACTTTATAAAAACTTCTCTGCATCTGTCATGGATTGGCTGGATCAGGGGAGCTGTCTGGTCCACTTTAGAGAGTTTCTTTTAAACAAATCTGGGTAACACTTTACAATAAGGCTCTCTTTATTATCGTTAGTGCATTATTAAGCATTAATAAACTATTAAATAAAGTGTTAACAATTGTGTTAATATTAATGTTAATATTAAGTAATGCATTACTAAGCAGACCCCCCCAGCCCTTTGTCCTAAACTTAAGGACACTTAATAGTTAACAATCTTGAGAACATTAATAAAAGGACCCTTTGTTTATTAATGCTTAATAATGCACTAACTGACGTTAATAAAGAGATTAAGGATCTTGGGGTCTTGTTCATGAAGGAGGGAAGAAGGAGCGAGAGATTGACAAGCAGATTGGGGCAGTGTCTGCAGCGATGCGGGCGTTGGACCGGTCTGTCGTGGTAAAGAAGGACCTGAACCAGAAGGCAAAGCTCTTGATTTCCTGGTTGGTCTACATCCCAACCGTCACTTATGGTCACAAGCTTTATGTAATGACCGAAAGAACAAGATTGCAGATATAAGCGGCTGGGATTAGTTTCCTCCGGAGGGTGACCGGCATCAGCTGTAGAGATAGGGTGAGGAGCTTGGACATTCGGGGGGGGGGGGGGGGGGGGGGGGGACTCGGAGTAGAGCCGATGCCCCTCCACGTCGAGAGGAGCCAGCTGAGGTGGTTTGGACATCTGGACAGGATGCTGCGGGCATGTCCTGCCAGCAGCTGGCCCTCGGGTCAAACAAGGACATGTTGGAGCAAAATGGTAAATGGCCTGTATTTGATATAGCGCCTTCTAGAGTCCTGGAACCCCCCAAGGTGCTTCACAACACAATCAGTCATTCACCCATTCACACACATTCACACCCTGGTGGTGATGAGCTACACTGTAGCCGCAGCTGCCCTTGGGCGCACTGACAGAGGTGAGGCTGCCGTACACAGGTGCCACCGGTCCCTCCGACCACCACCAGCAGGCAAGCAAGCACCAGTCTGGCCCGGGAATGTCTTTGGGCTTTAACTTTCATCAAGAAAGTAAATTTGAAGCAGTTTTGATTTCTGAGAAATGGCTAAAACATAAAATGGATGCTCTAAAACAGGGGTCCCCAATCCTGGTCCTGGAGGGCCGGTATCCAGCAGGTTTTGTGTTTTTTCTGCTCCAACAGACTTGATTCAGTGGTTGAAACAGCTGTGCAGCAGCTCATCAGGCTCTGCAGAAGCCTGTTAATTAGCTGCTGATTGGAATCAGGTGTGTTGAAACAGAGTTCAAACTAAACCATGCAGGACACCGGCCCTCCAGGACCAGGATTGGGGACCCCTGCTCTAGAACACCAGCATCACAACCAGAACGACAACTGAAACGTGGAGCTTCAGCTGTGGTTTGAGCAGATATGAAGTCTTGCTGTTTATTAAACATCCAAAGACAGCGTTTGTTGTCTGAGTTTTAAATGATATCGTGGACTTCTAGTATTTTCCACATCCCTGATTAACTGATGGTTAGATAATTTTAATGAAGTGAAGTTAATTAAAATCTAAATGGCATTAATGATCCAAACTAATGTTACCACCACATCAAATGAACAAACACCGATGGTAACTGCGCCCAGGAACCAGCGTAAATTACTGCACAGGACGACTTTTCTCTCCACTTTCTCAGGAAGAAAGTAAAAACAGTTAAGCAGGCGGGCTTGCTGACGGACCGTTATTGCAATCATTCGCCGTTTACTGCTTGGAATTGGCCCTTAAATGAAACAAATGCCTTTTCCTGACACAAACTATGGGAAGCAAAACAAACAAAAACAGACACTTAAACCCATCATTATCAGGCCTCTAATGCAGACCAGATGGAGAGAGGTAGGGGCATACCAAGTACTTGAGGTAATAACAAAGCCCCCTAACCCCCGAGTCGTCCTGTATCAGGTTATCTGACTTGTTTGATCTAAGCAGAAACCAACACTTGATGCCAACAATAGTTTCAATAACTGCAGAAATAGGAAGAGGAAATATTGCCCCTGAAATTCTAACTTTGTTTCTTTGTGTTGTGATCAATGGCGTTCCTCTCGCTTTCCCTCTCATTCGCATTCCACTTTATTCACTTGGGCTGTGAGTACCTGGCTTATATCTTCCACATGCAGCTTGTGGACGGTTCCTGCCCTCAACAGGAGCGAGCAGATAAATAGCATCTCCAAGGCCATTAGTCTCCCCAGACACAACTTATGAAGTCAATTTTACGCTGTCCAGTTTGATTTTGCCTCTCACATCCAGATGTTTGCAGCCCATCCAGCTAGCGCATTACCCTATCCTCCAGGAAGAGCACGTTCGCTGCCTTGGAATGCCCGCGGCAGGCCCTTTAGATGGTGATCTTACAGAATGTTACCCCTTTAGAGAGACTGATACTGTCCTTGGGACACTAGATCACAGGGAGGGGGGCTGTGGTTAATCTTTAGCAGGCAAATGTTACAACAGTGTATTTTTCAGAGGTCTTTGCCCGCTGACCAGAGCTTTCATTGTGAGCGTAATTCATCAGAGACGCTTGAAGCAACATGGTCTCTGCAAACAAGTATTTCAGCATGGTGCTCTTTCTTTTTCTTGCAAACGGTGACACAGGTAACTCAGTTTCTTGTCATGCTAACTCCAAAGCAAATAATGGGTCTCTGAGAGATTTACTCGCAGCCCTCGTGCCGTAATGTTTTATGGCCGATGATTGAGTCCCAGGAGTTTACCGTCAGGTTTAACAGACCTCCAGCCTCACACTTGGGCCTCAGTCATCAGATCAGCTGATAGCATCTCTCTGGGCATGTTAGTGTTGGCCATGTTTCCTGGTAAGAAATGACGTAGCAACTTATTGACCTATTTTTTTGCCTTGTTTTGCTTTCTGTTTCATTTTTGCTTTCTGATTGAATAATAGGATTACTTGCATCTGAATGTCAAGTTGCTTTTTTGTAATTTTTGCAAGAAAATGACATTTCAAGGCAATTGAGAATTTTATTTTTCACAAGGTCTCCTTGTCAGTAACTAAGTGTAACACGATCTAAATGAAAGATCAGTAAGCAGATGAATAAGATCTAGTAATAGATTAAAGTACGTAAATTAGGTTTGTTGTTAAAAAAATAAGAAAAGTGTTTCTTAGACTACGTAAGCCATTTCGCTTCCTTGATTCTTAATGAAGGTGTGTGTGTGTGTGGCTTTACAGCTCCAGGGTGATGTGACGCTGGTCAATCCCGGAGTCTCCCAGCTGTGTATCAGGGAGGATGGTAGGATCCTGGCATCAGCAGGCTGGGACGACAGGGTGAGGATATTCAGCTGGAAAACGTTACGACCACTGGCGGTTCTTCAGTACCACACTGACATGGTCCTCAGCGTAGCCTTCTCTGACCACCAGGACCCCAGACAACGACTGCTAGCTGCTGGGTCCAAGGACCAGCGCATCAGCTTGTGGTCGATATATAACGATGGAGCAGGCAAAGGCTGAGTCTGAGAGCTCTGGGAGGATGAAGAGACTAATGTGGTCCACTTTATGTCTTGCATGCTCTGCTGATGCGTTCATACCACAGAGACTCTGAACTTTTCCAGTTTGGTTTAATGCAAATAAGTCAAGTCTTTGCAATATTTGTTGTAATTAAATGTGTATTTTTATATTTTCTTACCAAACATGATTTAAAAGAATTCTGCATCATTTAGGAAACCAAAGAGAATAAAAACAACTTTGCTGCATAATTGCAAACTTGATTCTAGGATAAAAAGCAGGTTCTTGCTCTAAAATTTGTTGTTTTGTGTAAAAATTACAAATAAAAAAAAACAAAATAAATAAAAAAAAACAGGACAACAACAGTTTCCTCAACTGTAAGTCCAAATGAAATATTTCAGGTAATTAAGCAGCAGTTGACTCCTTTGAGCTATGGTTAGCTAAAGCCTGACCTGATGCTCTGCAGCAATGTGATCATGTTGACTTATCTGATGGAAGATTTGCTTCAGCGGACTTGAATTTGGGTTGTACGACGCACCTGAGCAGCGATGTAATCCCGTGTTGTTATTCTAGCAGCTTTCAGGCCCTGTAGGCTGACCTGAGCTGCATCTGTCAAACAGGGTTAATCATTGTGTGGACACACGCTGATTTAGTGGATCATTAGTTGCTCTCCCTGGTCAGTAATATTTACCTTTAAACTGATTTCCCGTCCTAGATGAATTATTTTCTTTTAAATAGCTCTGATGCATCGTGCTGAGAAGAGTTCAACAATCAGATGTCATTTAGAACATGTGCAATACCAAATATGAATGCATTTGTTTTCAAAAAGGTGCTAAAAGGCTCTAGATAGTGAGTATATTTGTCTCTAAAATATCAGAGCAAATGAGCAGCATGGGAGCTCATATGTTCCTGCAGCCTGATGAAAGGCCAAGGGCCAGAGCTTTAATGCCCCATGTTCAGCCTCACTTCTCTCCTGGGATCATCCCCGGTGGAGAAGCTCATCGTGATGAACAGGAAAGGCCTGAGGAATCAAACAGCCAGACGAGCAGAATGCCGAGGAACCGTTAGGACACAGAGGAAAGACGAGCCCATTATCTAGACAGGCTGTTTTGCTGCTACTGTCTCGAGGAACAAATGGTTCCACTTGTTGTTTTTCTTCTTTTAAAGCTTGTGTTTTGTAGTAAAATTCTCCAAATGTGTTGAAAATCTTGTACAAACAATCAACAGCGTATTTTCTGTGTTTACCACGGTCCCTGCAGAGGTCCATCCATCCCTTTTGTCCGGGGTCTCCGTGGTGACATCTTACATTCATGGAAGCTTCCTAACCCTCCTGTTGACTTTGAACAAACACTAGAGGTGATGCAGGCCAGCTTCCGTCCGTTCTCTGATAAATCAAATACCGAGTCCACTGGTGCAGATGTCTTCTGAATGGAGCAGACAGTGGCTGGCCAGCCTCGGAGCAGCCTGCTGGGGTGGCGCTGGACCTCGTAAATCACTTCATAATGGATCATTTAGGAAGTCAATAAACTGACGGGGAGACTCTCCGCACAATGGGGCCTGTGCTTCACTTATCGCCTAACGTGTGTCTTCCCTGGCCTTTGGGGTCAGAGGTCAGTTTAGTTTTAGGATGGGACATAATCCAGCAGGCTGAGCAGCTCTCGCTCTCTCTCTCTCCTTAAAGCTCATGTTGTATTCACGGGTGTTTTACTTACTTAGTTATGTAAAAATCCAAATGAAAGAAAACATTCATCTATCCAACAAATGTGTTGTTTTTGGTGAATTTAAGGAGGGAGAGTGTGTGTGAAGTGTTTTATTTAAACCCAGCTTGGTTTACCGGGTTTGTTGTTAACGGTCCTCTGCAGGACGCCCGGCACGAGGAGCTGGAACGAATGCATCAAATCCCTGATGGGCCTGTCACAACAGATGATCCACATGAGTGCTAAGTGATCTTCCCGGTCTCATTACCGTCCGTCCTCTACCGTTTCTTACTAATGTGGCAAGTCCTGGCATCTTTTAAACCCAGAGCACCAGTCGTCTGGGTACATTAAGTTTTATGCAGCAGAAGTGGGCGTCGCAGTTTGGCTTTTTACAACCTGAATCATTGAAATATCTATTTTTTTGTTTCCTGTTGAAACTTGCACCTTGTGTGTTTCATATATATCTAAATGTGTGTGGACATACAAACGTATGAACATAAGCATTTAGTTTAGACACGTGCAATTCATTATAATTTCTCCAGCAGGCGCTGTTTCTCCAGATTCACCACCACAGAGGGCTGCAGGTTATCTGCCTGTAATAGTTTGTATTAAATTATTAGAACTTATTTTTGTGTATTCATCAGGATACAGACCACCTTGAAAATGAGACGCTACATCTTAAAGGACTTTCCAGTAATAAAAGTGAAGAATCCAGTAAAAATGTTGATACTTTTCATCTTGGTTCTTATGTAGAACCATGTAAAGATGAGGCACATTAAGTAAATGTGCTCAAACCGTTCAAATGGAACATTTACATTTCAGTATTTTTTACAATTCACTGTTAAACTCAGAAAATATCATGCTTTAACATTTACTGGATAACTTTCTTAATTAAATAATTTACCCATCTAATTATTTATTTGTTTACTATTTAGGAAAGCAATACATTTATTTAAGATGAAACTTTCAGTGCAACAATAAAATTAGCTTATTATAAACCCAAGAACTATATTTTCTATTCTCTGTTTACTAATTTCATAGTTTAATTATGTTTAAATTGCTCAAAAGGCTCAATAAACATGATTTATGAAACAATGAAGACCATGAGGTCTTATCCTATAAGTATTTAAGCAATAACTGATAATAAAACATCTTCCATTTTTACAACTTTACTTTATGTCCATCGGGATCACGGTTACCCGCATTTAACATGGTTTCCTATATTTAATCAAAATGTAGTCTTCCCTCCTCCCCAACACCACCTCCAACCTCCGTGAGACCTAAGGGTGCTGTCTCCCAGGAGCTGCAGGCATCTCCAGAGCTCCCCGACCAGGAAGAAGGAACGGTCTGTATGGAGTATTAGCTTACACTCAACAACACCTGCAATAATAACAATAATAATAATATTTATAATAATGACAACAATGTTAAATGGCCCGTATTTGTATAGCGTATTCTTAGGGTTCTACAACCCCCAAAGGCGCTTCACAACACAACACGATCATTCACCCTTTCACACACTGGTGGGGGTGAGCTACGATGTAGCCACAGCTGCCCTGAGGCACACTGACAGAGGTGAGGCCTGCCGAACACTGGCGCCACCAGCAGACAAGGTTGGGCATCTTGCTCAAGGACACAGCAGCAGCACTCTGATCAGAACCGGGATGGAACCTGCAACCTTCCGATTACTGGACAACCCACTCTATGTCCTGAACTACTGCTAGAAGAGACCATGTGTAGTTTTTATCGTTCATCTCTGGAAACATCCATCAAAATGTTGTTGAAAATGAATCAAATGATGCCCAGCTGTTGAAAAATATTGGCGGCTTCGTATCGTATAACCATAAAAATCAGGTCTAAAACACATGTAGCAGATCTACGTCTCTGGGCGACACATGCTTTCTCTCTACAGGAGCCTGTGAGGGCAAAACACATTCTACTGATTCATAACAAACGGTTACAAAACTGTTGTCATTCATACAGATTGCTGTTTTACACATTTACCTCTTCACTCGTCAGTGATGAAAGGGAGTCTGATGTGATGTCATTTTGCTGGAGGTTGCCCTCCCATGGATTTTTGACCCTAATGGCTATCCGTTGGTAAGGTCTTACTCAAACACAAAAATACCGCTTTATTGAAATTTAGATTTGTACTGCCCCCTATCACCAGGGAAAACACACACAGTCACTTTAAAGAGCAAGTCACCCCCAAAGCAACTTATTTTGCTGAAAACTATAAATGAGTGTCTAAGCATGCTGCAGACACATTCAGTCAATAATATGGCACTTTAGTGCATCATAGTTAAAATAAAAAAAAAATCTGTCTAAAACTGTTCAGTGTTGCGCCGTCTTCAGGTAAAACCTCTGCATTTGAATTTAAATCTGCCATCGCTATTGGCTAAGAGGAACATAATGATGTCACAATGTCATTGTGAGCCTGTGGATGTTTGTATTTGTTAGCGGCTTCGCCCTCTTGGTCTGCCAGGCAACAGCATTGATGCATTTTTCAAACATACGGTGGGAGTGGAGGAAGACTCTGGTAGGGGGTGACTTGCTCTTTAATGATAATTAATAATAAAGCAGGGTTAAACATAATTAAACAATCAAAGATATATCTGCGAGTCAAAGCTTGTTCAAATGCCCAAATGTTTCTGAATTTATGAATCATTGAGTGAATAATTAAGACTGAACATGACTAACCTTGAGCCTAGGTGTAACTGACCTGTGTTATTAGTATTTTCTGAGGTTTGTTGGTCACCATGTAGGAAAACCAAAGTGTATTCAACCAGTTAGCTGGTGTTAAAACCGTTATTTAACCTCTGACACCTTTACAAGCCGTTTAACAGTCAGAGGTCACGTGCCCCCAGGCATCCTCCACCCCAGTCTCAGCTTCATGGGAGCAGTTTAAGGAAAACAACCACAAAAGTTATTGAGATGAATCATTAGGTTGGGTTTTTTCTTTGTGGCCTGACAGCCCCAAATCCCAAAGCAGAATATTTCTCCCGACTAGATTGACCTTGACAACAAAGCATTCCTCAGAGGAGACGGCTGGAGCTGGCTGCATCGGAGGGGGGTGTCACTAACTGTCCCGGTAATGATGACCAATTCAATCCCTTCAGAGGAAGAGTCTATTTTTTCTCAACGTGCACTAAAATAAAAGCACTACAACACTCTCCCTCTCCTTCCACTAAATCACCAGTCCCCAAACACCGCCTTTAAAAAGCTCAGTCTAAATATCCCAGCATATGTTTTTTATTTTAACGCTTCAAGACAGCTGAAGCAATTCAAATGTAAGTAATCCACGGCGTTTAACACGTAGAACAGTTTGTATGGTGAGGAGCGTGTGTCCTGAATCCAGGTGCAGATTTCACCATTCGAGCTGAATCATGCTACAGTCTGATGTTCAGGCAGCTTAAGCCCTGCCTGCCGATGACTACAGCAGCGGCGGGCACCTCTGCCTATTCCAGCACGGCAAACCCGGTCGGAGAGAGGTAACCTCCCCCTGCAGCAGACCCAGCTTTCATTAGATCATCTGCACAAAACCGCCTTAAAAAAATAGAATTTAACGTTTCTTTTAGAAGAATTTAATGTTTATTTTACAGGTACAGAAGAGTCATTTTGCTTCATTTATTTACTTAGAATTGCTGCGAGTCAGTGCCATGGTACAAGCTTCTCAGAGCGGCTCGAGATGTTCAAAAACGTTCAAACTTTATATTTTTGTGTCCTCGAGCAACAAGATTTGGTGCATTTTGACATCCTCTTTGGTGAGCTCAACATGCAAGCATCTGGTCTACCTACATCGTCGATAGGACTAGATAACATATGGCTTTTTTGAAAGCAATAAAAACAAAGCAAATCAAAAAGTGCATCACAAAAGAAAAAAAAAAGTAAATTAGTTCCAGTCTGTGATGAAACATCAGTGTTCAGGAGAAGTTCCTCCTGTTTCCTTACAGGTTTAATGTCAGTAGGAAGCAGCTTCGTGTTGAGCTGTAGAGTTCAAAGGTCAAAGCAGACCTGCTGGAGGGCTTATGACAGGTGCCGCATTCCCCCTTAAATAAATATGGCAGGATTCATCCAGCAGTGAGCAGTTCCAGCCTGTGAGCCACCCTCTCAGGTTGCATGGAGAAACTATTTCTGCTCCTGCTTGTTACGATTCCCACAATGCCGTGCGCCATCAATCTCAACCAACACACAGCCGTCATTATCTGGGCCCGTAGTCATAGTTAGAGGGGCCGCTGGTTGCTGAGTACATGTTAGTGGTGGCGTGATTCATGTGGTGGTGGTATGTGTGTCCTCTGATGCCGGGTAAAGGGTACGGTGTCGGCCTGGTCTTGGCTCCTAGGTAGTGTTCATAAGCCGTGGGGTACTTGTAGGGGTGGTGGTGCAGGGTGTCCGGGGGCAGAGGGTGGGGGTCTGACCGGAGGTCGTGGGGAGGACTGGGTCGTCCACTCGTGAGCGGGATGGCGTGAAGGCCACCGGGGACTGGCAGGGCAGGACTGAGGACTCGGGACATCAGCTGGTTAGCTGGGTCTGCGTGTATGGGCGTCCCGCTGGGGTCTCCCTCATATTCCCTCCTGCTGTCTTCTGAAATAGTGTAAACACAAAAGCCATCAGACACGGAGTAAGATCAGCGTGTGTCTGTGGGTTGTTAATGCTGTCTGAGCCCAGAACCTTCATACGTTTAACGGCTCTCCGTAGGGCTACACACACACACACACACACACACACACACACACACACACACACACACACACAGACACACACACACACACACACACACACACACACACACACACACACACACACCATTTCTTGTTACAAAGCAATGTTTAGATGTGTTTGAAATCTGAAACTGAGACAAAAGAGGATGTAGATAAAATTGTTCGTTTCACCTGAAACATCAAATCTAGGAGTAAGAATAATTATTTAAAATTATGCATTTTTTGATTTTCAAAACCAAACCTTCTGGTAGAAAAACAGTAAATGTGTCTGTTTTGTTCCTGTTTAAATTCACAAATAAAGATCTGCACATTAAAAAAAATCTAATCCTCGTTTGAGTTTTGCTGCTGTTAACTTATAATGAAGCAAGTCAGTGATGAGCTCCAGCCGGTGGCAGGAGGACTGAGTGTAGACGGAGCTGCAGACCTTTCTCTGAGCCGTTCTGCTGAGGAGGAGACGACATTGGGTTTCGTGTTCTGGCAAAGGCACTCATTATTGGCAGCGAGCCGGGCCTGTGATTCCTGGGCCTGGAGCAGGAAGATCGGCGTCAGTTTCATATTCACACAATTAACGTCAAAGGCACAATTTCTTTATGAACAATCCACATCTAAACGTTTTACAGCGGCGTGTCAAATGAGCACACATCCGAGGGATGAAAACGGTTCATTATGTGGAATTCAAAGCAGCCTGTAACACATGCTCCACAAAATAACCAAACACTCTCAGCTCTTTCAGTAGTTAATGCTTTCTAGAAAAACTAATTTGCAGAGCTCAGCAGCTGGAAGAACATGGCGTGTTCATTTTATCCATCTGAGTACACTACATGGGTGGGGTTAGCTCCTCTTTACAACTGGGAGTCTCAGCAATTCGTCAATGACAGACACACACACAGATGATTGACTTTCAAACAATATGCAGTGATTTCTAAAATTTAAGGCACTCTGTTTTTTTATGGAACAAACTCCACCCGTGTGGTGGCTTGGGTAGGGTAACGGAAACATTACTACAGTGTCATGAGTGTTTTATGACCTGGCTGGCTCACTTTAAACAACTTTTTTTTACATCGTGTGAAAGTTTACTCGTAAAAAGTTGTGGTATGAAATAAATAAATAGATAAAACTCACCAGTCCTCTGGGTCACAGTCCCTGAAGCCCTTTGCAAAAGGATTACTGGCTATCTTCAGTTGTGTAATCTGAAATGGGGGGGAAAATATTAACAACAATCACATAATAATAATAATAATAATAATAATAATAATAATAATAATAATAATAATAATAATAATAATAATAATAATAAATGATTATCTTTGAGTATTTTTAACTTTGAATCTGAATTTCTAAAACCGAACCAATTATGAGTATTATTATAGTAGTAGTAGAAGTAGTAGTAGTAGTAGTATTATAATATGCATTTGTTTTTCAAATTTGGTTTTGTTTAAACAACACATATATTTTTTATGAATTTTAAGTTTTTTTCAGCATTTCCTGAAAAAAAAACTAGTTTTTAAATAACTAAAAATAAAAATAATTCTCTTTAGCTGGATAAAAATATATCATAGCATCAATGTGCTCTCCAAATCATGTAATAACCGAAAAGCATAGGTCATAAATCAGTCAGCGTTATTTATTTATTTATTTTTATTATGTGTAAATGTCATATCATAAATGGATGCTCTGATTCTGGGATTAACCCGCAAAAATGAGAGGATTAGGCGCAAAAGTTTACCACATTGCACAAAAGATTGTGCGCAAAATGCGCACAGTTGCAGACGCTTTTCACTATTTATAAATACGTTTTCCACACATTCTATTGTAACATTATTAAATAATTTCTCACTCTGTCTGCGTGCTTGCTGCTTATTATAACATTTGGAGGTTCGTGCGGAGCGCGCAGCTGCTCACCCGGTGGTTCTGGTAGGCTGTGACCGCCGTGAAGCGGGTTTCCTCAAAAACAAAGGTTTTATAGTTTTCTTCTGCGTATTTCTCGCTGTCTTTGCGGGGATCCACATAAACCACATGGAAGCGGGGCTGGTAGCGGTGCATGGAGTTCAGAATGATCTGTAGGACAGAAAGGCTCGGTCAGCACCTCATTTATGGACCATAACCGGAGACGATAAGAATTAATTAATGCAAAAATAAGTCACCGAGTTTGAAAGTCGGTGCACCAGAAAAAGTCTAAATATGTTTCTGATTGAGAAAAACATTTTAATCCCACAATGCATAAATCATTTAATCATCGCTGCCTAAAAGTCAAATCAGGACTTATTTATGAGCTCACCTTCATATTTCCTTAATAAATCTAAACTTTCCTCTAAAGTTCACCTAAAACATTCCTCTCATTACTTTTTAAGTTTTTGCGCGCTGCCGTTTGTGAATTATTGAGCAGCTTTTTAAAGGTAAAAGTCCGTTAAATTATAACTTTAAGAGTTTATACCATCATCTGTTTTGTTCTTATTAATACTGAATTAAATAAAAGCGCAGCTTCCGGTGGACTCCCCTGTTTGCAGCCACTCACATGCCCGTTGTCATCCAGCAGGTTGTTGGTTAACTTGAGTTTATCGAAGGAGACGATCTGCTTCATCCACTGCGCTCCTTTGGCTGGAGAGTCCGGATGGTAATGAACCCTGCCCGGCGTGGCGGGGTCCGCTTTACCCGCCACCAGCCACGACGAGCTGTGGAAAGCATACCTGTAACAATAAAACGAAATAATGAAATATATTTAAATATCACAACTGGTTGTTAATGAAAATAAAAAAAGGAAATTACGCCATTATTTTGGATTCAATCTCAGTAAATGTAATTTTTTTCTAATATTTTATTATTACTTGCCTCATTTTTACACGTAAGACACAAATGATGCCTGCGCCATTCTGAACTATAAATGAAATAAACACCCCTGTTTTTATTATGCTTTATTTTATTTTATTAGCAGAATTATGATAATGATGCTTGGCATGGAGGAGAAAGCAGCAAACCTTTCGTTTTGTGGTTTCTTCATTCATAAAATAATAACACGCAATTTAATCATTTTATTTAAAAAAATCAAACGCTAAACTTTTTAACACCCCCATACGTTTTTTGGCACTGTTAGTTTTTTTTCCTCCATCACGAGTTAACCAAAGCCTCCATGACTAAAGGCCGTTTTTCTGCAGGGATCCAAAGTTACCTGTATCGTTTGTCATCTACAGGCAGGAAGTCCATCAGGAGCATGTAGTCTGCCATGGGGTCCATCCCGAAGATTTTCACTTGGAAAGTTGGGAACATTCTCCTAAAAACACAAGAAGGCTGTTAGACCTGCGCTGGAAGTCTTCTAGAGCGCAGCGTTTATTTGGCTGCTGCTTTAGCCTCGTCTTTCTAACAATGGAGGCAAAATGGGTGTCTTTATGAAATTATGAAAAATAAACATCAAAAAGAGCTCGTGACGTGAAGCAGACGGTGAGTATAGTTTTCCCCCAAACCAAATGGATTCATATTTGTTGTTTTTATTTGAACTTCTCGGTTTTACTTATTTAGTCTTTTGATGAATTCCAGAAACATCAGACACGAACACACTCCCGCATGGGTGTGTGTGTGTTTTGGGAGGGTGAGTGTGTGCATTGTAAACTCGTGATAGTAAAAATATGAACGGACACATTTCTAAAAATAATTTGTATATTTACAAAGCTTCTTGGTATTTTCACCTCCTGACTGCAGCTCCGCACCCCCCCAGCAACCCTCCCAGTCAGTGAAAGGGATCCCAGAATCAACGCTCAATTAACGTCAGTGTTGTGGCTAGGTGAGGCTGAAGGAGCTTTTAAAGTGCTCTGCTGCGGATCCCCTTTCTCCTGTCAGACAGCTCAGCCTCTCAGGCTCCGGACGGTTCAGCAGCAGGATACAGGGAGGCACGTTTTATGGGCTCCACGGGGGTCAAAGGTCAATTCTCGGACCAAAAAGCGTCACGTTTTAATTATCATAAAGAGTCAATGTCGTTTAATAGAATGAATCCTTACGTGGAGAATTTGAGCGCATGCATTGGCTGGGTTTTATCGGGCCTGAGAGGGAAACGGTCAGAGGCGCGTGCGTGAAGCGGAAATAATAAAAATCTAGTCTGATTAATAAACACATCGTGCAGGTTACTGCAGGTAAACATAAACAACAACAAAGCAACATATCTGAGTGTATAAAGCTGAGGAGGAGCAGAGATCCGCACAGGAATTTATTATTTCAGATAATCATTTATTCAGAAAATTAAAATAAAACAGTAAATAAAGGAAAATGTAAATGAAGGCTTAAATAATAACATGTTTAAAGGAATAAGGATTTTTATATTACTTGTTATTTTAGAAAAGCTAGAACTTCACTTATACCTATAATTATAATAATTATCAGTGAATATCTGAAATGAAACAAAAACGATTTTAAAAGTAAATTTCCATATTTTAATTGAATTTGAGTAAATTTATTCTATCGTGGATTATTATTTTAAAAATCAACAAAACTACATAAACACTAATAATCCACACCAGATTATCCTGCTTCTTCATGTCCTTTACTGTCTGTTGTGATAAAAAAAGTTGGATTCTGTAGTTCGGCCTGTGTGTGTGTGTGTGCGTGCGTGTGTGTGTGTGTGTGTGTGTGTGTGTGTTTGGTTGTGTGCGCGCGCGCGCTCACCTGCCCGCCTTGGTGACGATCATCTCCGTGCCGAGCTGATTAAATTCGTCCCACAGCGCTTTCATCTCCAGCTGCACGTTGATGTTAGCCACTTTTGGGTTTTTCTTCACGATCGTTTTGCTGTTCGGTGTGGAGCTGGAGGACGACGAGGAGCAGTTGGGCGTCCCGGTGTCGCTCGGCTGGGCCTGGCCCGGGTTGGACCCCGGGTAGCTGTAGCTGTGCTGGGCGGCCGGGCACGGCTCGAAGTGGGACTCATGCTGGCTGTAGGGGTCCCCGGGTGACGGGGAGAGGTGGTATCCCCCCGGCGTGTTGAGGCTGCTCAGGCTGCTCGTCGTGAAGGCTGCAACATCGCAAAAATGGGACAGCTGCGTCAGCCACGGACTGGAAATGGCTGAAATCATCCCAGAAATCTGGATCTAGCTGCTAATCACGGCTTGCTTTGTAAAAATCGGTCGAAGCAGGAAGAATAAACTCAAAAGAGAAGCAGGAATGAAAGAACTCCAGGTGGAAGATGTCAGCTTGCGTCTCTGCTGCGCATTAGTCCTCGCTGCCGCATCCGCTCAGCCTAAAATATTCCCAACAGTGACGAAATGTGTCCAGAAAAAAGTCACGTCGAAGCGCTGAAGTGCTCTCGGAGCTGCGCGTGAGTGTGTGATCTGCGTCTCCCTTTGGGTCGATCTGCGCTCTCAGCTGCAGTGTGTTAGCGCCGCGACCCAGATTGCGCTCTTATCTGACGCAAAGGGCCTCCCCTTTGCGATAAAACCGGTTCTTATTTCTATTTAGATAAGGAACTGCAGGTAATGTTCCATTTCCTCGCCTTGGGACGAGACTGATTGACAGAGAAGTGCGCCCCTCTTTAATAGGCTTTAGCATGTGGATAAAGGGTATCGCCCACAACAGCCCGGTACCGAACAACACCAGGACCAGCCCCGCAGAGAGAGGAGTGTGAAGGCTTCACAAGGTAAACACGCGCTGATTTGCATGAACAAACAAACAGCTGCAGGTGACTGTCGCTCTAGTTTGTGGGCAAACACATGTGAGATGATTACTGTTCCCCCTCCGAGCTTCATATTAATGTTTTACCATTACGCACGGGCTGAACCCTCCTCCTGCTGCCTTCCTTCGAATTAAAGCTGACTGTGAACGCTTTGAGAGTTTGGAATCAGAGTAATTTGGACCCTTTTCTTTGTCTGCAGGCGTCTCCTCCCTGATAAGCATCAGTGAGTTAGTTTTTAGAGAGCTCGAACTTTCTAATTTTCTCCAAAACAACGAACCGATTCGGGTTTGTTCTTTAACCAAACGCACACAGGGGTGTGATGTAATCTCTGGTGAGTTGTACACATGCTACAACAGTTCTGTGGGCAGGATAAAACAAATTTACCTTCCATTTCCCGGGTGACAGTGCTGTAGTGCATTTTAAAGGAACTGTAGCTGTGCAGGTCTGGCTTGTCCAGGCCGGTGCCCTGTTTGTCAAACGCTGCGTTTCCTGCTCGCTCTGCAGCCGCAATCAGAGAGGCAATACTGAAAGCATTTGCCTTTGGAGAGAGGGGACCGCAGTCGTCCATAGGCAAAGGATCGAGTCGTTAAAGAAGACCCCCCTCCTCCTCCACCTCCTGCTCCTTCACCACCACCACCACCTCTTCGTCTGTTTTCCAGCCGCGCGGAAAGCAGCAGAAGTGTGCGCGCGCTGCGGAGGAACATGCGTTAAAGAGGGAAGTTTCTCACATTCCGCCACCGGCTCTCCGTAGGTGCGTGCTCCCGCAAAATTCTCCCCCAGAGCTCCGAGTTTTTCGGACTAAAACAAGTCCTGGTGCCAAAGCTCCGTTCATCCGCAGAGACGAGACACGCACACGCGCGCACACGCACAGGGAAAGAGCTTCCACTGGTTCTCCTCCGGTCGCAGCCAGGCAGGATGGTGTTATCTGAGTCGTGCCTCGAGGAGAATCTACTACTGCTGCCACGAGAATGTCAGAAGTGAGCAAGACAGATCCACGCCTCCCCCGCGCCGCGAGGACAACGTGTCCGCGCGCTGCGCTCAATGTTTGATTGCAATGTGTCGCTCATTTAAATCGAACTTCAACGTCACAGCGATGTATGGCTGCGGCGCGCGCCAGTGTCGCACCAAAGGATGAAATTTAGAGGTGCGTGCACGCGTTTTAGAGGTTTCCTCCTGAACCTCAGATCTTTGGTGATCAAGTGTGGCAAACGTTCATCAGATGTTACACCTATAAAATATAAGTAAAGCACCTTTTGTCGTCTTTCATGCGAAAACAAACAAACAAACAAACAAACATAGTCAGATCGCTTAAAATGAAACGTTTAACACATTTTTACATATATAAACATAAAGGCCTATTATTAAAATTCATGATATGGTAGTAGTCTGAAGAAATTCACACCCAGAATTATAACAGGCCATAATCAGAAGCACGCGCACGTATACAGACTCGATCAGACCAGCTGGACTTGACCTCTGCGCTTCCTGACGACCATCAGCTTATTGAGGGTTCAGCTCCGGTGCACAGAAAACCCCAGAGGCACTGGGAGAGGTCCGATTTTAATTTACACCAGATTGACGTAGAAGCAGATAGATAGATAGATAGATAGATAGATAGATAGATAGATAGATAGATAGATAGATAGATAGATAGATAGATAGATAGATAGATAGATAGATAGATAGATAGATGATAGATAGATATATATAGATAGATAGATAGATAGATAGATAGATAGATAGATAGATAGATAGATAGATAGATAGATAGATAGATAGATAGATGATAGATATATAGATATATAGATAGATAGATAGATAGATAGATAGATAGATATAGATAGATAGATAGATAGATAGATAGATAGATAGATAGATAGATAGATAGATAGATATATAGATAAATAGATAGATAGATGATAGATAGATAGATAGATAGATAGATAGATAGATAGATAGATAGATAGATAGATAGATAGATAGATAGATAGATAGATAGATAGATAGATAGATAGATAGATGATAGATAGATAGATAGATGATAGATAGATAGATAGATAGATAGATAGATAGATGATAGATAGATAGATAGATAGATAGATAGATAGATAGATAGATAGATAGATAGATAGATAGATAGATAGATAGATAGATAGATAGATAGATGATAGATAGATAGATAGATGATAGATAGATAGATAGATGATAGATAGATGATAGATAGATAGATAGATGATAGATAGATGATAGATAGATAGATAGATAGATAGATAGATAGATAGATAGATAGATAGATAGATAGATAGATAGATAGATAGATAGATAGATAGATGATAGATAGATAGATAGATAGATGATAGATAGATAGATAGATAGATAGATAGATAGATAGATAGATAGATAGATAGATAGATAGATAGATGATAGATAGATAGATAGATGATAGATAGATAGATAGATAGATAGATAGATAGATAGATAGATAGATAGATAGATAGATAGATAGATAGATAGATAGATAGATGATAGATAGATAGATGATAGATAGATAGATAGATAGATAGATAGATAGATAGATAGATAGATAGATAGATAGATAGATAGATCCTCCAACTGGTGTAATCCGTTAGAAGGTGCGCTCTGCACATACCAGTGTGTTCAGTCGGATATGATGCCATCTCACTCCATCACTGCCAAGGCGGAAGCCTCCTTTCTAAACACTCAGGTGCTAACAGACAAAATACAGGAGCAGACCAAGATTGGAATAGTCCTCGCCGGAATGCGCTCGGGGGCCTCCGCCTCAGTCAGCGCGCGCTGGTGACCAGATTATAAATAAATCAATAAAAGAGAATTTCTCCAATGAAGAGAAACTCAAATCCAAATTGAGATTCCATGTAGTTGATGAAACACCGAGATTTAATAAATAATTTAAACATGAAAATGTTTCAAATATCCGTCTCTTATCTGTGACATGTGCGCATCTGGATAGCCAGTTTATAATTGAGTTGTATAATTCCAAAGCAATAATTTAAGTAGTTTTTGCTTAGATTTTAACCCCAAAGCGTCAAAGTCATGAAAGATAGAAACCTGACAGAAGCAAACAAAGTGAGCTCTCACTGATTAGAGGCTGCGGACCAAAACGCGCCGCGCCTGTTGGCTGACGGATGGAAGCGGAACAAACGTTTCTCTGTCAGACTAAATAACGTCACTTAGCGTTTGGATTCGAAAAGCTACTATATTGACCCAATTTTCAAATCCGCACAGAAATACTTAATTTATTTTAAATTAGTAAATTTTTAAACTGATCGCCCAATAAACTCAGCGTATTTAAATCAACCCGTAAATGTAACCAGTTATTTCTTTGACTGCGAAAATATATTCTGTTTATTTTCTTTTTAAAAGTAAACAGAGCAGGAATCCTAAATAAATGTAGAAATTATGAAAGTGTTATCTCCCATAAAGCAGAGTTTTGCTGAGTTTGCGTGGCTCGTGAGGTTGCAAATCCATTTGGCACGCGCTTTTACGCACCACATTTCGGGTTTTCTCTGCATCCACATCGGCTTTCTGCTGACTGTGGCATAGGTATGTAGTCTAACAAGTCTGGGCAGCCTAATTTAGACAATTCCCAGATTTGTTGGTAGGTTTCCTCTTGTCTCTTTTTAATCTCCGCATCTGTTCCTCATGAACGCGAGGCCTGTGTGGTCCTGCGCAAGCGCCCTGATGTGGCTACAGGATACCGAAACTCCTGCCTCGTTAAATGGCAGATATGATCTAACGTCAAGGCTCTGTGGCCGCCATTTTTCTGTTATTAGTAAACTGTAAACATAGATGTGACTGGGGTAAGGGGTCGCGCGCTCATCTCACTACGGTGGCCCTGAAGTGCAAACCACAAAAACAAATCACTTAACGCAACAACAAATTAAAACACGCAACAACAAACCACTTAATGCAAAAACACAATCACAAAACGCACATCCTCTCCAGTCTTAACTTTACTGAGCCGCCCGGACCGAAGCCACAGTGACACAATTATCAATTAAGCGCCCGTCTTTCCTGCAGGTGATAAATCTCAGCTTCCTCTGGAAATCATAAAATCAGCGATTTGACGTTCACGTTCCGTGACAGTGGCTTTGGGGACCCAGGCAGCGCGCGACACGCATAAAACTTTATCCTGTCTAAATATTAGTCTAAATCCCGGAGTACGTGGGAGAGGAAGCCGGCCGCTGAGAGCAGAGGACCCGGGGTGTCCCTTCCCTCTGCGGGGACTGAGTTTAAAGGGGAGGGAGGGGGTATCCCGACAGCCTCGGGCCTTCTGCAGGAAATCATCATGGAAAAGACAAACAAATGCGGGCTGCAATAAAATAATCACCAAAACTCATTTAAGTTCAACAACAGCACCAATTATCAACTGATTTTTTATTAAAAGCCTGCAATAAATCACACGATCACACATCTGGAACAGAAAGCTCGTTTTAAAGTGAAAACAGTTATTTTCATGTTGTTTACACTTTATTTCAATATGACGTAACTAATGTTTTTAATCTGTAAATAGTAATAAAATAATGAACTGTTCACAACAGCTTCCAGCAGGTGCCTGTTGCCCCCCAGTTCTCTGTCCTTCCTCATTTGAGACGAATCCAGAGGTTTTCCCGGTGTGAATCAGAACGCAACTTGGAAAAAAGTCCACATTTATTATTATTATTATTATTATTATTATTATTATTATTATTATTATTATTATTATTATTATTATTATTATTAGTAGTAGTAGTAGTAGTAGTAGTAGTAGTAGTAATAATAACAGTAATAATAACAGTAATAATAATTTTCTTTTCTTTTAGACTTTTGTCACAGGTATACCCTACTCTGTAAAAAATTGTTCATTTATTAGAATAACTTCGGTTTCCTTTCAAAATAAAATGATTCTATTCCTGTAACGTACGCACTTGTTTTGCACTCAATTTCATTATTAATGCCCTCCACATTAAAGTGTTTCTGTTGTCCAGTCATGGCATCTCAGACAAAAACAAATAAACCAAAAACACAAGATAAAATAAACAAAAACAAACTCTCAGATTAAATGTAAACATTACAGACTGTTTTAGTTTTTATGTTATTTTTTATGTGTCACAATAATTATTTGTGTTGCTGGAAAAATGGGAACAAATGATATATTTCCTTGTTGGCTAATAAATGTGGGTTTCCTGTCCATTTCTCTTGTATTTTTTTAGGGTCATCATAAAAGAACAGGAGCATGAAACACAATGGAAATGAACACAATGGCTCGACCAAGGCTGGATTCCCTGGTGTCAGTCTGAGGCTGAGTCGCTCAGATATTCCCACACACATAAAACAAGAAAAAATAATAATGATGCTGACGAGAAATGTTTAAAAATAGGTAAAAACTTAACAGGATGCTCATGTTTTCAATGTGTAAAGCCTGATAAAAACGTAGTTAGTTTAGTTTAGTTTGAACAAATCAAAAAGAGAGAAAAGGAATGAAAGAAATATATTAAAACAATACATCCTATACCACTCCAGACAAGCTGCATTATACATGTATAATGTATAATAATAATTACTCCTGTATCCACAGTTGAATGAGTGTGTTTCCCTGTAGTGGATGCAAATAACATTCATACAATAAGAAATGTTTGTTTTTGTTCCTTAAATCTATGTTAATATCTCCACATATAAATAATATGTTTTCTGTCATCTGGCTGAAGATTATGTCCTGTTTAAACAGATTATTGTAAAAAATGTTTTACTTTCCATATTATTTCTGTTGTTAGACATTCCAATTTATTACCCACCGCCATGCTGTCTGCTTCAATCACTTTGTGTTTAAGACTTGTCCACAAACAAGGCCAAAGTTAGCACCCATCCCAGAGAGTTAATCCAAGAGTCAGAAATCACAGTCATCTTAAATCTGACCCTGAGACAGCCCAAACATTTGTGTTAAAATAGGCAAACTCCTGCTGTTGAAACGAATAATAAATGTTTGTGACAAGGACA